GTTTCCAGGAAGAGTATAAATCTTTGAAGTGTGGCATGATCTGCATTGCAAATACCATTTTAATAAGGAGGTTAGGACATCGCCCCTCCATTATCCTTCCTCACCGGCCAATCAAATACTTGTTTTCTTTTTGTCCTTGGTATTAAACGCCGGTGTATTAGCTCTCCCATCGCTATTAGACTGACGCAATTCCATTTAATGATGTCATCAATCATCGCTGGTCCCGACACTGGCGTAGGAAGCCAACCTGTTAATAGTGCATTGTGCCCGCTTCATCATATCCATAGTCTCATCCAAAGGAATGAGTCAATCTTGCAGAACTTGAAATACTGGTTAGCACTAGTTTAAGGTGTGGAAGTATTTGGGGTTTTGGGGGGTATTTGGTAACATCGTTTGGTTAATGCGACTGAATTGTTAATGCAAATTATGTTTGTTTTGAATTACACCGCAACACAAATCAGTCAGTATTCCTGAGCATTCTCCTTGGTTTGGAGGAAATATACAACGTGATTTGCCGTCACGATTATTTTTAATACCTCGAACTATAGTCCTACTCTGTAGTCCAATTTGTGCTGTTATATCAACCAAGTCATAGAATCAAATAACTATGAAATATATTTCATCTAGGGTCATTTAGTGACTATGAATAGCACCTATTTACTGTTTCATATATATAATTATTTAAAATTCATTGTTAGCGTTTTGGGGGCAATACTCTCCATCTTTAGAATATTACTTGTATAACGATAAAAAATATCCATTATAATATTATTTACACATATTCTTGTTTAAAATATTTCAATATAATAATAAAAAAAGATAAATATATGAAATGGTAAACGGATGCTATTTATAATTGCCAAGTGACCTTAGATATTATCGAAATGGCTTCCTATTTAATTTCAAATATATTATTTTGGTACACCTCATACCTGAAATTAATGAATGTTATTACATCCATGTCACATCCACTCATTGTTATAGAGTACGAAACATATGACGTGCCATTAGGATTTATTTCTATTTTTTTTTTCATATTAAGTTGTTAATTCACGTTAAATTATATTTTTTAACTCCGCTAGTGATTTATTTAATCTGATTTTTTTATATGAAATAATTCTGAAAACTAAATGAGTTCTGATAGTTCTGATTTTGTAATTTTTTTAATCTAAATTTTATAAAAAAATATTTCAATTTTTCGAACAAAACAATCTTCACTAGAAAAAAAATGGATGATTTTTCCAAATGAAAATTGTTAATTTTTATACCTTTCATTAAAATTTATATTCACAAATATTTTGAAAAAATTTAAACCTGTTCCAACCATGATAATGTTTTTTTTCCTTCTATATAATGTCTTTTTTACGTTGAATCTAGTGTTGAGAAATAATTGAGTTCAGATTAGACCAGACTTATGAAAAAAATTTCTTTTTATGAATTAATTTCGATCATGAATGAAATCACTTCTGATTTAACCATAGTATCTTCGTATTTGTTGAGACTTGAGGTACCATGGGAGATATTTCCTAGAAACTATTTTCGTATATGTGACGTCAACGACGAGGAAGCTTTTGTTTTTTATTCCTCGATTTAAAATTCAATATGTGAAATTTATGTCTTATTTTTATTAATATTTTATATTTATTTTTTTATCGTGCCTTTTACAAGAAGAGCCCTATCGTTCATGAAGGCTCAGTATGAGCAAACATCGATATCCCCTCCTATCGCTGACAGCGAGGGTTTACAGTGATCCATCTATCTTTCTCATTTATCTCCGAACAGAAAGAAGAACACCCATCGTACAAATCATGAATATTTTAATGAACAGCTGCTGATGAAAAAAACAAATAGCATAAATACTTTACACGAACAGAGGACGATAGATTTTGTAGGTTACATTAAAATCGTCTGTCCGGTGTCTAATTATACGGACAACATCCTATAAAAGGCATGCCTCATCTTTATGATCGAGTGATATCTTCAGATTATTATCTGAAAGGTATCAATGGCTATCTGTAAACAATCTATTAGCCTTGTAATTAGTTTGTCGAACAATTATCGAAAAAATGGATGATGAAATTAATCGATCCCGCCTAACCCACACATAGCTCCAGAATATGTATATTTATTATGGTATGTAAATGACAGAAACAACATCTTACTCTGGTTTGATGTGTGTAGAAGTAATTATAAAGTTTCTGAAGCAACGAATTAATTAACATTCTAATGAATCGGCTTTTTGTTAATTCAAAAAGAATTATTAATATTTATTATTGTATTTCTATGGCCGTCGTAAATTATTTTGATTCCTAATGCTTATTCATATGCCGTCGATGGTTAGATAAAAACCGACAACTCTATATTTCACAAGATTATTTTTAAGTTTCCAATGATAAGCCCCCTAATTTTTGTTATTAACTTATTTAGTAATTCGAATTTCATTGATAATTTAAAAAGTAAATAATGTATAACAATCATTTGCCGTGTTTGTTTTTTTCAATATAAGCGATTTACTTTTTATTGTCATAACCCTAATAAAATCTAAACAATGGAGTTGGTTTAATTATTACTAAATATTAAGAAGATGTAAAGTGGTAAAAACTAAACATTGTCAATGAATTTCAATAAAGTATGAACCAATTAATAAAAACTAATGAAGAAAGAGATGGTTCGTAGAACATTTTCATGACGGGTGTTAAAGGACTATTTCATTAAAAATTCAATTTTTCAGTTTAAAAAAAGAAATGAAAATGCTACATAAAGGAATTTTGTCTGGCGAACAGATGAGAAATGATTTAATTGTTTGTCCGAGGAAATTGGATAGAATTTTAAATCAATTGATTTGCTGAATTTCTTTCTCATCTTTTGTTTTTGAACATTTTATAATTTGATTCTGAATTTAATTTATCAAAAAAAAAAACTACAAAAGAAAAACCGTTTGACCTGAAAGTTACTTCTATCAAACCAACTGTATTCATTTACTATTTTCAATCCTCCATTGATTTTGGAGAGGTTGAACAGGTGCGCAAAACCTTTAAAACTATGAAAAAATATTTAGACATGAAGAAATGTTGGCTAATATTTGATGCCAATTCTACCGTATTGTTCTGCAAAAAAATAACCACACATACTGAAATACAAATCATTTTCTCCGATGAAGCCCGCTGGAATTGTTCAAATGCAGTGAAGACTTATATATATATATATATATATATATATATATATATATATATATATATATATATATATATATATAAGCATCCCTAATCCTCTTCTCTAAAACCTTAACCCCTAGATCAGGAAACGAATTTAATATGCACCCTTCACCCCTCTTCCATATAGTGCAAAGGTCTAATAAGTGGTACAAAATACAGAAAAAATTAAAAGGCTTTTAAAAGAGACAATATTTCTTGTTTATATAACACATATTCCTCATAGTTGAATACTTGAATGAATGTATTATTTTTTAAACTCGATTCATTTCATATTGATAGCATCATACTAAATAATTGATAATATTAATAACTGTTGATAAATAATTTGATAACTATTGTATATAATCATCTATATAACTTAGAACGCATTATGATTAAAATGGATTTTTTTTTTACTTTTTTTTATTTTGTTCAAAATTAAATAAAACTTTCAAATAAATATATTTCTCCTCAGAATCCGCAATTCTAAAACTTAAGTATAATATGATACATACAATACAAGTCCGTATGATATATTATTATATTTCTTCTATGATAACTCCAAAGGAGAGTTTATCGAGGGATTATTACATGAGACATCCATATCATCATTAGGATCAATTCGTGTAGAACATATTACATTTTTACAGTACATAAGATCCTTAGATTGTTTGGCAGTATTTGTTTGTTAAAATAATGAAATCAGTAAATTAAAATATAAAGAGAAAAAAGAAAATGCAAAAATTATCACAATCAAGGAAATTACTATAAAAGTGAAAGACAGGATAATGCAAAACAAATAAAAGAAAATGTATTAAAAATTTATATTCATAAAATTCACAGCTGTATTAAAACAAAAATACATCCAGTAAATGTGACACATAAAAGTATAATAACATAGAAATACTTGTAGAGAAATTACCCACCAGTATAACAATATAACCAAATACATAAAACCAAATACAGAACCAATATAGGAAAATTATAAAGCAGAATGAGCTATGCTGATAAACTTTTGTTTATCCTAAAAGGCATTATATTAATGCATCTCCATTTTGCATAATAATTTTCAGGACTAATTTCATGCAATCAGTAATATTCGATATTATTAAAATACGTTTGACTTTGATACTATCGGTTAATTTTATCTAACTATTTTGATTTGATCCTTAAATATTATGCTTATGTAGTGTTGATAACCAACAAGTGGACGAGTTGAAATTTTATAACTAATGAAAATGTACGACTGGGGTATTTTTGTTTTTAGGGAAAAATAATAAATTACAAAAACAAAATCTGTGCTGAAATTCATTGCAAAATGTGCATGATTCGATAAAAACTTTACAATATAAAATAAATAGAGAAAAAATAATAATAAAAAATATAAAAATAAAAGCTCCAAGGCTACATCTAAATGGTACCAAACGTATGGACCCGAATTGTGGGTACGTGAGTCCCAGGTTCTTCAGGCAGCTTTTTTGAAGATTAGACCGTTTTATCAGTACCTTAACAACTTACTTACTTGCGACAAGAATTTTTATTCCAAGTACACTCTCGGTAAATGTTGGGAAGAATCTTTGTGAGGACGCCGCCGCGGAAGTTGGGCCGACCAACACGACCTCTCCTTATCTCTGGCTTTATTTCTTCTTCTTATTTCACCCCTGTCGGTGGATTATCTAATCTGCTTTTTTATCCTGTCTCCACATAGTGTGCGTCCTCCGTAAATACTGGCAGTAAAAGTGTGGAGATGGGGGAAAAAATCATAAGGCTCACCGAACAGTTGAGAAAAAACAACTTGATAGTGGAATGAAGTGTTCGATATCGTTATCTCCCTCTTCTCCATGGTTGACTCAGCTGCCGTCTGCGGCCTGGCTGGAGGCCCCGCATTCCATCTTCTGGAGTCCGGCTGGAACGAGTTTTGGGTCGCCGGATAGTTTGAAATGATTCTCTTACGTACGTGTTAACGGCGCCGATGATCGTTTTCATTTATTTTTTTTCCTTAGTAATCTACTTCTTTAAACTTTGAATAGTAATTACGAATGCTCGCTGAATCATTTCATAAGGTACATGTCAGAGTTTTTAATATTATTTATATCATAATATCCCGAAAAACGTTATTCTCAGTCTGTTAATTTTTCAATACGGAAAAATCCAGTTTACATTTTTTTTTTTTTTTTTTGGTCCACCTGTTCTCCTTTTAGGCGCCAGAGGAGAGGGTGAGAGATTAATACCAAAGTTAAAAAGCCAATACTTGGATGATAATTCGCAAATATTTCATCATTTAATCTTTGGTTTATCAGTTTGACGAGTAAGGCGTCATTGGGCAACCCGACTACATCCAGGTTACATATTGGTAGATTTTGTTTGCTATAACCGATGCGTGAAATGTATTCTACTACTAGAATTTATGGAGGATGTGCAAGTTTAATTCTGTCGCCCGTTCTTTTACTCCTCTCCCCCCCCCCAAAAAAAAAGGATTAGTATTTTAGGTGATATATTACAACATAAATATTAATACATCATAACATAAACTCTGAATTCATGCTAAACAAAAACAGAAACAAATGTATTTTATTTAATCTAAAAATTAAATATCTCATTCGAAATTTGCTGCTTTCCAAATTCTACCTGCCGAGGCGATTGCATGTTTTGGTTAGAAAAAACATACGGACTATATAAATATAAAATATAAAATTATTTCAAGAATTATCTTTAATTTAATATTCTTTTCTTTATGTTGGGAGAGGGCCGTAAACCCCCCCCCCCCTCCTCTCCGCACCCTCTCTCTGAATCCACTAATGACCTAAATCTGCATTAGGTGAAATTCCACAAAAACGAATTAGGACAGATTACAATGCTAACTTATTTTCTTGAGGTATTTTTCGTCTCGTATTCAATACAGAAGAATACTACTGAAATTTAATATTTTTAGGATGATGAACATTTTCGAGTCTAACAACGCTGGTTTGAACCCGGCCTGGGTGGGTTAAAATTTATTTTATGGCAGACCCACGAAATAAATCTCAAACTTCCCACTCTGGTTAAAATAGGTTTTAACAGTTTAGTTTTAATAGTTTCTGGTTGTACTTCCAGAATAATCATCATAATAATGATACGGTTTTACATAATGAATAATAACTAAATTGTGATAAAAAAAAAAATGACCAGAAAATAGACCAGTATAGATTATTAATGTGCTCGTTTTAAATATTATATTTCTGAATTATCTTTAATTGTGCACGCGGTACCTGCACTAATAAATTTAATTCTAATAAATTTCGGAAATAAAGATGTTCTGTTGCTAATAGTTGACAACAATATTCCCCACCTACTACTCCAGACTCAAAATATATCATAGAAATTAGAAAAAAGTTATATTTCTAATTTTAAAAAGTATAATTCAAGAATTATTATTGTTAATTGTGAAAAATTTGTTAACAAATAATGATCAGGATATGATTTTTATCACTTATAATAAAAAATTAAAATCGCTCTAAATGAAAATCATAAAATGATTTTTTTTTTTAAATATAATGTAAAAAAAATAAAATGTTTTCTTCTGCCACCGAATGATACATCATCTCACGGGAACCTTTGCCGTCGGAATCACTCGGTCAGGAGTCAATTATTTTTTCTTACCTTCTTCAATCAGAATTGGGTAGCTTCTGATTACTTGACCTTTAATGGCGTTACCAGCCCGAAATTACCTTAACATTAAACGGTAACGATTTCGATTTTTGTTTTCTTATTTTAAATGTAGTAAGAAACAACAATGCCAAAATTTTATGAAACAAAAATCCAAAGCAATGAAAATCACTTTATGATTATGTAAAAATAACTTTAGAAATCAGATAAATTCTTACTTTGTGTAACTAAATTTTTTACTTAACATCTTTTCAGCCCGATTAAATGAAAATCACGTGTATGTCAAATAAAATTGTCTGATGTTTTCCGGCTGAAAAATGCTATACTTTTAAGAAGGATAATAATAATAAATAATAAAAAGGCTTAGCGAACCCGAAGGTTCGATGCCGACACCACCAATCGCTTATTACACACCTCCCTCCATCGTTCACCGTCCAAACCCAGTCCCTTCAGGTCGGCTTTAATGCAATCTTCCCACCTTCGCTTCGGTCTACCCCTCGGACGCTTACCATTCGGCACAGCAAATATTAGCCTTTTAGGAATTCTCTCGTTACTAAGTCCAACAACTTTACAAGCCCATTTGATTCGCCGCGATAAAATTATCTCAATTATATTACTCGGATACAGTTCACGCAATTCGGCGTTGTGTAACCGTCTGAACTCTCCAGTTAACTCATCCTTCTTCGGTCCGAATATTCTACGCAATACTTTATTTTCAAAAACCTTAAGACGCTGCTCATCCCTTAATGTAAGCGGCCAAGTTTCGCACCCATAAAGAACTGTAGGCAAGATAATTGTTTTATAGATTCTAATTTTTAAGTTTCGGGACAAGAGGCGCGAACTAAGTAGTTTTGTCACAGAAAAATAACAAGCATTTCCCGCCTTCAGTCTAACCTTAATTTCTTCTTCAGTTTCGTTTTTTCTAGTTATCGTAGAACCTAGATACCTAAACTTATCTACCTGTTCAAACATATTACCATCTATATCGATATCACCAGTAGTAAGAAGTAAGAAGGATAATACCATTTAAATTAGACAGCATTTTATAAACTCTTGTAAACATGATGTAATTGTCTTAGGGCTAATATTACGAAATGACAATTAGAGTTTAAACATTAAAAGTAATGGGAGTTATATTTTCGTCTGAAACGCAAAGGCAATGAAAACGTATTATAGGTTACTTTATCACATGATTCGTTTTTAATAGTTAAAATAAAATTTTAGTAATAACTGGGTCAATCCAGAAAAAAAGAAAAAAATTCTGGCCCTCAATAGGATTTCATTCGGCTAAATCCTGGCCCGCTGACCGAGCGAAACCCAATACGAATGCTTTACACAACCATCGATTGAATTAGTTTGCCAATCTTTATCCGAGGGTCTCCATTTAAAGAATTCATTACTTCTTTAATTAGGGAGTCAAAAAAATGCAAATTAAGGGGGTCAGTAATCCCGCTTTAATTTGTAAAAATTGAGCGGATAAATAAATTTCAATTTAAGAAAACTTCTCTCCCAGTTTCTATCCTGCGAACTCCAATTAATATGCAAATAGTCTAGTAGGTGAGCAACGTTCTCAACCCTCATCTTTCAAATATTAATAAACCATATAAATGATTGTGAATGTACGTTTAGTTTGAGTGTACCCAATTGTATTTATTTTTTTTCAATCGTAGGTGTTAATGTGTAACAAGATAAAATTAATTTATAACTAATTGTGTAACTGTCGCATATCCAGGAATTAATTGTAGGTGGCTTTAGCCTGAAAACTTGTTTTTATATACGTAGTTAACTATATTTACTTTGGAAGAAAAAAATAAATAAAACTATCTATATGGAATGATGCTTGAGTGATTCCTGAAGCCGTATCATAAAAATGTATTTACACGAACAATACTTTTAAAGACATTTATTAATATTGTTTTCATAAAACATGGTTATATTTATTTGTTATATATGTATTATAATTTAAAAAAATATAACTTATTGTAATTGTTCAAGTATTTAGCTTACATCACTCACAGTAACAAATAAGGACCAATAGGAAAAAAATATATATATTTTTTTGGGGAGGGGAGAGGGTGTATGAAGCTTCAGCCCGAAATCCCCTTGCCCATTAATTCGTCAGTGTTATACATGTATGAAAAATTGATTTCATTATTATGTATTTTTATTAATATTACATTTACAGTCCGACGTTTCGGAATATTTTTATATTATTCTAACGTAATTTCTAAAAAAAATTTTATAAAAACATTTCAAAATGCCCTTTGATGCTTTAGTTTTAACAATTATGAATATTTAGTATTTTCTATAACTGGATTATTTAATTTTAATTTTATATTATATTTATAGTATCTATATTATTTTGTATATTTATATATCATTTAACTGTTCTAGGAGAAATCTGGGTATGCGGTGTAGGTGTAGACCACTGTTGTACAGTTGGTATGCAGACGCAGTTGAGTTACTACAGTCGGAGGCAGTTCCTCGAAGCCCACAACCAGACTTTGGCGCACATGAGTTCCATCCTGAAGAACAGAGCAATCAAATTCGACGGTGAGTCAGATATTATATTATTATAACCTAAGTGAAATAATTTATTAATACAAATAATTGGATTCCTGGATTGATGGATCCATAATTTAATTTTGGTGAGGCTGGCATATTTTACTTTATTTTTAATTATTTTTTTACTGTTATTAATCAGAAAGAAAAAAAAATAACTTCATGGGCGTACTGATGTTTAAGTAATCCCTTGTAGTCCTTTTTTTAATAACATTATTAACATTCGTTTAAAACTTCGTGAATGGATTTATACTATCGCGACCTAGTACTTATTTATTTGCGGGGTGTTTTCAATCTGAAGATCGATAAACTGCGTTCGATTTAATGAGGTACTTAAAAATCCATGAACATCCAATTGCTTTCCACTTGAATCGTAGCATAATTTCATCCCAGAATGTAGAAACATGGTGACCTATAATAATATTGGACCGTTTGGCGTGATCTCCACAACATGCCAAATAACGAAGTTATATCGACCAAACGGTACAATATTTTTGAAAGCCATCTTTTCCTCCCTCAATTTTGTTATTTCATTGAGTTAAGTAATTTAATTAGATAAACCACGATTTTTGAGAATTTCCTTATATAAAAAGTTGTAAAGTCACGATAAAACCAACCCACACTCGAAGTTTTAGACGAGTGTTAATGATTTCATAAAAAGGGATGGGATTTGTACCACGAACTGTTGGAGACCTGTTAAAAAAAAATAATACTTTTTAAAAAAAAAATATGATACTTCCATTCTATAGCTGTAATTTTAATTAAACATTTTAATTTTTTTTTAATTTAATATAAAGAAATGTTTAATGTACGTTCTCCCTTAAAATATCGTGAACCTTCACCTTCCCACTTAAAGCACGCTCCAAAACTCTCTATAAGCTGATATATCAACTACCTAAAAATAACATTCAGTACTTCTTGAAACTCAGATCTTCGATTTTAACAGACTGACAGACTGTTTAGGTACTTATTGCTATTGTTAGCGCAAAAGGTCGTATGCAAAAATTGATTTTTTTTTTTACAGAAGAATTTCATAAAAACCGATCATTTATTTATGATTTATTAGTATAATTTCCCTATTGTTACGTAAGACCTTTTTCACCAACAGTAGGGGTATGTATAACAACTCATTGCATTGTATTTTAAAAGAAAATAAATTAATATCTGTCCAAATTTATTGGAAATTCACGCTCAAACGAATAGAAACGTTTCAACAAAAAGCTCTTTCCTGGCTCGGAAAAGTTTCTATTGAAATCATTAATAAGATGTCCAAAACTGTAGCAATATAAAAAAAAAAGTACAAACACTTTCAGTTTGTCTAAGCCGTCTTTGAATGGTTTCATGTTTAGCGGTTTAATCGATTGTGTCAATTTATGTAACATCGTGATAATGAAACTGGATTAAGGCCGAAGCTACTCAATTATGGATAATATTTTCATTATTTGGACTGATTTATAATCGTCAACAAATTGTCTATCGATTTTAATGTTGATTTTGTTGAAGGTAAGAGCTTTACCTCACAAACTCATTAGTTTTGAAATTTTTACGAGAGTTGTAGATATAATTTACAATTGTTCAAAGATTGCTGGAGAATATTAATCAGAAGTTATGACGTGAAGAATAATTATCGAAATGATTTTTGAAATCTGCTTCAATTTCATCGCGAGTTATGTTTTAATTCTCGTTGGTTTTTAACATTTTTTTCTTAATCTTTACCCCTAGAATTATCCGATGAATCTAAAAAGAAGACCTCAGATCTTTCCGACTGAAAAATATCAATAGATTGCAACTGATGGGTAATTTATCCGAACTATCCTATTAGCCTGAAAGAATGTTCACTCATCTTATTTTTAATAGAATCGTGAATTGCAATAAATATTTGAATAATTTAAATACTAGTGTTGCCCAAATGCGAGACCGGGACGAGTCTTGGTCTTGCAAATTCAGTCTTGGTCCTGTGCAAGAGTCTTTCAATTACCTATTAGCTTATTACTATAGAGATATTACTGTATTTTTTTAGATAGGAGAAACCTAACTAATCCTAAATGAAAAATTAGAAGAGTTAAATGCAAAAGTATATTGGTTATACTAAATCTTTACAAATAGTAACTAAAATTGTGAAGTGTTAGTAATTATTTTGCCTCAATTTTTTTTTCTTCAAAAAATCGTTTTTGTTTTTTTTTATCGGGCATGGTCTTGGTTTTGGACCGATTTTGAGCAACAATATTAAATACTGGGATAGTATCCTTGAAGGAGCAACCGAATGTGGGATAAGTAGTATCTAATAGTTTTTTTATTAAGTCCCGATTATAATACAAACTATATAAACGACTTGAATATTTTTAAATTAAGTTTAAAAAATCTTAGATAAGTATCTCTTAAATTAAGAAATTTTTAGCCTTAAAAAATTATTTTCAATGGAATTTTTAATTTAAAAGAAAACAAATATGTTTTCATGAATGTAAATTTACGTTTTAAAATAGAACATAATGCTTTAGAACTAGTTTCAATGAGGTTAAATCAATATAAATACGACAAATGAAAAGCAGATGGATGAAGGATGTTTGAGATGGACAAAAAAAAATATGGCTCCAAGGTTCATTATTATTATTTTTACTTTTAAGTTTAGGTATTATCATTCCGCATTTCAAAAATATTTTTCTTCTAATTTCATAAATAGTAGAGATCTGGATGTAAGAAATTTCTGGGTATAATGCTGGATTGACCTATACTTGAAGTGAAAAATAATCGTTCTTATCTAAGAAAAAAACTGGAGGTGGACGTAATTCGTTTTCCTCAATCGTTCAAAAACGTTCGTTAATGAAAATAGTAAACAAAAACTTATCCTATTCTGAAGGGTTTAGGTGCATAATTTTGAATTATGACAACAATAGTTGGTGGTGTCAACTTTAAATCCCACCAAAAATATTTGTTTTTAATATGTTTTTATTTTTGATACAATAATTTGTCTTACGTATTAAAAAAAAAAAAAAGATAAAATTTATCTGGCATTTTAAATTCGTATATTTCTTTTTTTTTTTTTATTGCCTGAAAACATATATCTGTACCTGTCAATTTTATGTTGACAATCAGCAAATGTGCTGAAAATACAAAAAATAATGACATTTCTGACATGGGAAAGGACAATACTCTGCAGCACATCTTCCATGACTTGTTTTAATTACTTAGCTTGTTTGAGGAAGATCTCACATCCAACGCCTTTTTAGTAGCCTCCTCATATCCAGGAGTATGTCAGCTGTGGCCATGTCTCTTCTTATTAATCTGTTGTAATGTGCGAATGAATTTGTATAAAATCTTTAGTAAAGGGTCGTTATATGTTGGTCAACTGTTGAAGGTGGAAGTCGGTATGTAAAGTTTTGTTAGTTTTGTTAGTCACGTACCAAGGTGCTTTTGTTATGAGTCGCAATAATTTTGATTCTAAGGTTTGAATCTTTTATAGACGAGTCTTTTCAGCGATACCATATATCCTTGATTTTAATTATTAAATTTTTATAAAGTGCGTGACTTCAAAATCAGCTCGTTTAATTTTAGATATATTTGAACCATCAGGGAGTTTAACTTTTTTTGAAATGTTAATTTTTTTCTACATCATCTATGCCCCTGAATTTTTCTTTTTATTTTTAACATGTATATCATTTTATTCTAAAAAAAATAAAATAAATTACTTATATACGATTCCATTTTTATTTTGTCAACTACTCAGCCATCGCTGTTTGGTCCTCACTCCTTACATCATTTTGAACCATCTCATCGTTCCGTATTCTCCTTTCTGCTATATGGTTTGTTTGCTTACCCTCATTCAACCCATCCTCAAGAACCATTCCGTAGTACTAACTTCCCATTACTCAGCAACTGATTTACAATCATCAATAAGACAAACCCGAAGAACGGTAAGAAATAATGCTGTTTATAGAAATCTTTTTTTAGTGTATCCAGGAAGCCGTTGTTGATCCAAGAGCATCCATTCCCACGGCAGTGCTGCGTGTTTGTTATCCCTCCTACACTGCCCTCCGGTACAATACCTTAAACAGAAGCAACCCGTTCCTGTCTAAATTTAACCTTGTTTTCAGTTTTTTCCAAGTTCTGTTTTATATCGATTTTTTTCCCAAACCAGATCAGATTTTTAACTGATCACAATTTTCAAAACCACTCCCCTCTCTAGCTTATTCGTAATGTTTTACTACCTGTCTTTACCCAAAGAAACGTTGAAAACAAATAAATAAGTCGAGTTTCTTTATCTCAAAGCCGACGTTTCTGTCCAAACATGTGGAGGCAATTAAAGTCTTGTTCATGTCTATAATAGATCGAATATACATCAAAGAAGTACGGAATGATCTAAAAAAAACTAAATATAAATTAGAATATAATATAAGGAATAAATTAAAAAACTGAAGAAGTGAATTTAAAAAAAAACAATTACTATACAATAATGTTATTTTAAACATGAACTTTTTTCTTTATGTTTAATTCAATTGTTAAAACTAAATTTAAAAGAAAGTCCAGTTATAAGAGAAATTAATACATGCCTAGAAATTTCTCCGATATTCATAAAGACAAAAAACAATTTTAAATATTATTTAACTGCCGACGGGCGGATTAAGGTGGTTAAAATTATTACAAACGTCTCCTCATCAATTTCTCCTAAACAGTAAAAAAAAAATACATTTTTCGGAACATCACGCAACCTTTTTAAATTGTAGTCTTTGCAAAAATTTGATTTATGAAAAGTTTATGAAAATTTTTGTTAACAAAAAAGTAAAAACATTCCAAATAACACAAGTTTTAGAACTTTTTTCTAGTTAAACAGAATGACAATAAAGATTAGATAGAGTTTCAAGAAAAATCAACAACCACCATTTCGAAACGAGCTATTTAACAAAACTTAGTAATCACGTGAAATTCCATAAAATTACTTTACTATTTTAGTCTTTTTATGACCGCCATCCCGAACCATCTCCTTATTCAATAATAATAAACTACGGCCAACCATCAAGTATGCAATAAAATTACTAGATCTTCAATCGAACTATTAATTAATAAAAACAGTGAAAACGTACATTCTGCAAGATGAAAGTATTCTCACAAACTCAAAAAGGTATCAATAAAACTGTTGATCTAGTTTTTTAAGTTATAAAAAAAAAATTAAATTTACCCGATGTCCCGAGTTTTTTCTTATTCGTCCCACTGGACAGCGTCGCTAGACTCGAGAATCGGTAACAAGCTCGGTCATCACCACAATTTTTTCTATTGTAATTATAAAATCGAAATATCTGTGCTGAAAATTTGTATAGTTATTTTTTGCTGATATGTTTTCATTTCAGTATGAACCCCTCTTTCATTACGTTGCTGTGTACGCAAATCCCATGGGCTCTTTAATCCATTTTTCTCTGACAATCAAAATTTAGAAATGTATCTAATATCTTCCTTGGACACAGATGTCCTTTTATCCCTCCAGACAATTGTTTTGCGAAAAGACGTGCGTTTGTCCACTACTTTACTTTCAAAATTTTCTTCTTCCTTCTTTTTTCCGGAACTGTTCAGAGCTCTTGGACCACATCGGACACCCTCGGCCGCTAAATCGCGGAACTGTCCGACCCGTGAACCGGAGGTCACACTCTCTAGGAAGAAGTGAACTCCAAAAACAAAGGGCCCTGGGTCCAGTCATGCAAAGCAGGAACAAATCGGAGTACCAAATCGAAAGGAAAAAATAAGATCACTAAATCCTATTAGCTTCTCAACGTTCCTCGTCATCAAACGGTCTGTGTCTGTTTGAGAACTCAAGACCAGAATAGGAAGAAATATTTTGAAGATTCAGTAAAACTTGAAGGATAGTGCGATTCATATGTATTAGAAAAATGTATTAATATATTTAAATAAACAAGATATGTACAAAAATCGAGTCACACAATCAAATACGAGTTTTTTAACCAGTACATATGATTTCGTAAGAAATTTCGAAACCTAACTGCCCGAAAATTAATCTCATTAAACCTGTGCATAACTTTCTTTCGATTTTTCTAAATATAAAATGAATACGGTTTAAAATGGTAACAAAATACTTCGAATTTTCTCCTGATTTAGAACGCTAGAAATATTCCAAATAATGGAATGAATATTGATTATTTGTTATCGATAAAAATTTAACTCGAATATTAAGTCGAACTTAATATCGAAAGTCGCTAATCGTTTCGCGATCAGTGAGTGTTTAATTATGGACTATGAGAAGTGAAGACTATTGAAAAATTAAGTGGAGGGGAGAAGATTTTAGGTCCTTTTCCCCAAGTCTTATCGTCCCAACTGAAAGACCTACAATAATTTTAATTTTTATTTTATCTTCAAAGATGAAGACAAATACAAACAATGGCTAATTAAGATAAGCTTAGATCGTACGAGAGAGATTGACATCTGAAGGGAAAAACAAAATATTTTAAGCGCGAAATTTTCAACTCTCATTAGTATTAATTTTATTTCTATTATTTTTTAAGTCATTCTTTTAGAAGGAAACATAGTTTTATGTTTTTAGCAAGTTTCTAAAAATTGTAAGATGAACTTTTGTATACTTTATTATTTTGTGCTTTACCAATGGCTATATTTTCTAACCACTATTCTTATATATTTTTCAGATGTTTTCAAAGACATGTTAAACAAGTCCAAAAGGGATTTCCACGACATGTTCACCAAAACATACGGCATCATTTATGAACAGAATTCCTATGTTTTCACCGACTTATTCAAGGAATTGGAAAGATATTATGCAACTGGACAAGTTGATTTGGTGGACGCGATGGACGACTTCTTCAATACATTATATCAAAAAATGTTCACGGTTCTTAATGCCCAGTATACTTTTGATGACAAGTAGGTGTTTTTTTTAAATAAGTTTTTTGTGTATTCATCTTATTTGTAAATTTTCCAATCACTTCTCCATTATGTAATGTAATATTATCTGTTATGATTTTTTTTTATTCTCATTTTATCTAATGTTGATTTTTTCATTTGGCAAAAATGTTATATTCTTTCTTTCTTGAGATGAAAACTTTGTCATTAACCATAATTAACTTTGTTTATTAATTATAAGGTACATATATTGGTCGAGATAAATTTGCTATTTACAATGGTAATGAGCAAATATGATATTAAGGAATACATATGATATCAGGGAGTACAAAAAAATAAATATATGATACAGAAAAAACAAGCAAGAAAGAATATGAATAATAGAAAATAATAAGAAAAAATATAGTAAAAAATAAAATACTAGTAAATTACAAAACTAAACTAAAAGAAAAAAAAAGTAGATAATAGAACACAAAAGTATAACATAACAATAATGATTTTCATATTAATAATGTTTAACATAATATCAATGTGATCAGGTTGATGGACATATTTTTTTAAAAAATGTTTATTGCACATTAAAATTACCTACAATTATTAGAAATATTAATTATTGCGATATTATTAGTTAATTAAATTTAAAGAAAACTTGTGACAAATTTGCATTTACTGTTGTTTAAAATTAATATTTATTACATTAAACTTTTAAATAGACAATAAACCACTCTAAATAATTTTTAAAATAATAATGTGTGAGAATGGGCATAAATGGTGAGAGACAAGACATTTAATTGAACCTCGTGAAAAAAAGATAACTCTTCTACAAAAGTGATGTTTTTTTTATAAAAATAATTTTTTTTCCTGGTTCAAATTTGATTTTATATTTGTATCATATATATTGACAGAGTTGAGAATAATATATCCTTTGAACTTAGGTTAAAAATTTTCTTTAATCAATTTTTTTTTAGAAACTTAGCATTTTTTTATCAGAGATGTTCTTTGTAACATGAAATTTTTATATTTAATATAGTAAAAGAGGCTTAATTGAATTTAATTTTTAATAAATTGCATTCATGGATATACGACATTAATTATTCATATTTTACAGGTATTTGGAATGCGTCAATGAGAGAATGAAGGAATTAAAACCTTTCGGAGATGTACCTAGCAAATTGTCCACACTACTTAAGAGGTCATTTGTGGCTACAAGGACATTTTCTCAAGCACTGCATGTTGCTGCAGATGTAGTAAAAAACATGGAAAATGTGAGTTTGAAGTTGATAATTTTACTGTATTGATTTTAATTTTCCAAATGATCTTATCTTTATTATTAGTATTTTGTCTTTTATGTACTTTTGCATTATGATTTGAATTTTTTTCTCAGATGAGCATTAGTGAATCATGCCACTCTGCTGTAGCTAAGATGTCCCATTGCCAAGCCTGCAGTGGCCTAAGTGAATTGAAACCTTGTTCCAACTATTGTACCAACGTAATGAAAGGTTGCCTAGCTTACCATTCCGTATTGGATTCCCATTGGAATAGTTTTATTGGTAAGTATTATTCAAAGTAAAGATTTTTTAGCTTATATTTTTAAAGATTGGTATTTTCCTTATATTTTATGAAGTTTTTTAAATAAAAAAAAATTGAAGTTTTATTCAAATTGATATTTATGATAAATTAATTGGTATATTTGTAATTATATTAGTTCATTTCTACTTGTATCTTTCCAGATGTAACTGATAAAGTAGTTGACAGACTTCTCGGCCCATTCAATATCGAAATGGTTGTTGAACCAATTGACATAAAGATTTCTGAAGCTATAATGATCTTCCAAGAAAATGCTCAACAAGTTTCTCAAAGGGTAACTATTTTCTATCAATTGATGAATGTATAGTTTGGTTTGTTTTGTGTTGTAAAATTTAATAGTGCTTGACAAATTCATCAGATATTATGAAAACAAAAAAAAAGTCTAAGACTAATCATGGACACAGACAGCAACTGGCCTTAAATTATATAGAATATCCAAATGCTTGTATCAATTATAACTGTTTGCTGCAATGTAAAAATAATAAATAAAATAATTGCCACATTAAAAATTAGTCTCTTCACTTAATTACGAAAGAAAACCCGCCCATTTGTCGGAAGTGTGGAGAAAGAATGACAGTGGTCCATATCTTCGAGAGTTGTGCCTTTTACATTAGACAATTAAACATAAGGGGAACACCAGCAAATGCACCGGCTGCTTTAGAAACTGATGAAAAAATCCTAGGCAAAATCATATGGTTTCTCTCCGAAGAAGGAATCTTAAAATATATCTGAACCTCTCACGCAGCACTTCCCACCTCTTTTTTTCCTCTTACCATTTTTTTTTTCTTTTTTTTCCTTTTTCTCTTTTACCTAATGAGCGAACTTTAAATAAATAAAATTTAATAACAAAGAACAACATCTAATCTTAACGTACATTTTACTTTTTTTTTTTAAATTTTATCCAATTCTTAATATTTATAACCAAAATATATAATAATATATAATTTTAATTAACGGCGTTGATGACCAACAGGTTTTCTCCTTCACTACACAACCAACCAACCAACCAAAAATCAGTCTCTTAGGATGATTTGATGAAACAGCAGAACAATGTGTAACATGATATTTTTATGTCTTAGGTTTTCACAGGCTGTGGGAAACCCACTCTGGGCAGGAACAAAAGATACATCACTAAAACTAGGCTAGGTACTCACAAAAGTCGAAGAGCCACTGGTGAAATCGAACTGGAAACTTTTGATTTTTCAAACAGAGGAGGTGGTGGAGAGGAGAGTACCCACGGAAGCGGAGAAGAAATGGGGAAACTTGAGAGTGTTTTAAGAGAAACTAGAGAGGCATTGAAGAATACTAAAAATTTTTGGCAGAAGTTTCCTTATCATATGTGTGGAAAGGGAATGACAGCAAGTACGCAAGATCCTTGTTGGAATGGCAAATCAAAAGATAGGTAATGAAATCTTTTCTATATTTGGTTTTGATTGAAGTAATGAATTTTTAAAAATGTTATTTCTTTTTAAAAAATTGTTATAACTTTTTTTTTACAAATTGTCTTATTAACTGTTCTAAATAAATAAGTATATTGGAAAGCTAATATTTATATAGAATTATTAATGCTTATATCTTAAATTTTAATTAATTAATCGTTTTATAATTTTTAGATACTTAACTGATGTCATTGGAGATGGTATCATAAATCAACAAAAAAATCCAGAAGTTGCCATTGATGTTTCTCTGCCTAACAGTCTAGTAAACGAACAAGTTTTCTCACTGAAAACTATAAACAACAGGCTAAAAAGTGCATATAATGGGATGGACGTAGATTGGATTGATAATGGTAAGAATTGTTATTGTTTATTTTGTCTAGATATAATGTTTTGGAAATTAAAAAGCATTTTTTAGAATAAATGTTTATATATTGGTGTTTTCTTGGATGTATGATAGAAATATATTAGTTATTAACAAATTAAAAATAGTCTGTTGAAGTTTTATTTATTCAATTTGAAATTCTATGTAATTATCTTTCCTATTGATTAAAAATCAAAACTTCCCAAATATAGTAATTATTATTTTGAATTTCAAGAAAAACATCCGTAATACCATTAGATATTCTTATTTTGAAGGTAAGTTGTTTGTCTGGCCCTTGGCTGGAAAACTTGTCATTCTCCTCATCTCGTAATAGTCTTTCCAATTAGCCATGTAACCCAGAGGTTAATGGTACGGAATCTTATCAAATAGGAATCAGAATCGAACGTATCCACTACTCCTCTTGATAAAAAAAAAACTGGCCACCTACTGCCACTGTCCTACAATACTGCAATTTTTAAATTTAATTTTACATTTAAATTTTTAAGTTTTTGGAATTCTAAATTGCTTCAAAGCTGATGAGTAAAATATACAACAAATTGAAATTAAAATTAAAACCTTTACTTTTCAATTCTGAAATAATAAGTTAGACTACTCATTATTGTTTGAACTTAATATAGAACAAAAAAAAATATAGATATAAATTTAAAACTTTAACTCAAAATTTAAAAAATCAGGGAACTGTCAAACAGTGCCAATAGGTAACTGTTAACTTTTGGCCAGTTGGTGCGGAGAGTAGATTAGGTTGTGAGAATCTCCTTGTTCCCCTCTGTATCATGCTTCAGCGGATAGGCTGTATCCTAAGCTTCTTGCATTTTCGTTTAACTCTTTATTAAATCCAAGTCCTAGGATACATATTTCAGCTATAGTATTTTAAAAAAGGCATGGTAGTATTCTTTACAATTTTTTTATTTTTTTATTTTAGCTCCCATACTGATGACTACAATATTTTTTTTTATTTATCCCCTGCTTTGCCATTTCTGGTTTATGAGGAGGTTGTTCTGTATGAACAACCAAACCTGTTCCAATCAGAGAGGCAAGGTCTAGATTCTCCCGTTGGCCTATCACCATAAATTTCAACCCTCCCTTCCCCAAGCTGGATTCAAACCGGTGCTGCTATACTTGAGAATGTTGAAAGTGGACAATGCGTGTCAGCCACCATAATTTCTGTATATATATTTGGCTATTTGTATAGATCTTAAGTCCCTCCATATTTGTGAATCTACCATGGATTTCTCGGACCAATAAAAAAATCCCTTAGCTACTTATCTTCCAAGCAGCACATTATGTTTTCAGTTATTTTTTAAAAATCTTATTATATTATCTAGCAAAAAAATATAAATTAAAAATTGATTTTTTAGAAATGATACATAATCTACTGTATGAAGATATTACTTGGAATTAAAGTTTTCACTTTTAGTTCTAACTTTTTCAGAGGAATTCTACGGCTCCGGTGGTAGTGGTTCTGGTGCTGGAATCGATGAAACAGGATCAGGAATGTCCCCGACAGACGTGACTGAAGCTCCAGACCCATCTTCTTCAGAACCTGCAACGCCGAAAGCAGAAGACAACAATAAAGAACCAAATGAAATAGATCCCATTCCAGATTTACGAAATAATGTCACTGTAGTTAACACTAATGGTAATTCTATTGCAGGTGCGCCAAAATGTGATATTGCGGCAATCACATTCATGATCCCACTTATTGCCTGTTTACTTGGAGGCAGTTCTCTTTGAATATTCTAAAACCAATACAATGGCAAACCAAACACAAAAGATTCAGAATTCTATTTCATTTGTATGTTAAATTCAAATTAGTCAAATTGTCAACATAATTCATTGACTTACCCAACTAATTTATTTTTTTTTAGTTTGGATTATAACATATTACTTCCTGAAAATTTGATGTATTGTTTATCAGTCTTTTTTGATTGATTAGTAATGGAGGAAGAGAAGTAATATTAAAATTTATTATTTCCTTAGTTGAGAAAAACAAAATGGAATACTGAAAAGTTATTTTATTATAAGACCACAATAGCTATATTTGTGATAAGTTCTCCCTTGATGGTGTTCCGAGATTGTTAGGATATTTGAGGATATCAGGATGTATTTAAGGTTATCTTTTTAAATATATATTCTTGAATTCCAATCATAATTTATTAGATTAACAAAATTAAATATTTTTATAATTATTTGAATTGTGTAATTGGTTTCATGAATGAATGTCTTGTATAGGTGGATTTAATAAGTATTTTGTGGCAAATATTTTGGGTCAGCTGATTGGAAATGAATCATGATCAGTAGTAAATATGTATTTTAAATACTATTGAGGAATCAGAGTAATTTCTTTTCAATTTTTTTGATGAATGGTGAAATTAGTTTTTACACTAAAGAAAAAAATAAGTTATTAAATTAAATTAAAAAAAAAAAAAAATAGTTTCGTATTAACAAAAAAGTGAGACAAGATTAAGCATTTCTTGTGTTACTTTGAATATTTCATTAACGTTTTAATTCAGTTATAAAAAATATTGAATTATGAATATTTTTCTGTTTGGAATTCGGTTGTACATGTTGTTGAAGAGAGATATTTACTACATCATCTAAGGAGTGAAATATTTTAAAATTGGCTGTGCCAAAAATATACTATTTATTAGTATATTTTTAATTGCAAAAAGATTTATAATATTTAAGAAATATTTGTATAAGATCTTTTTGACTTAGATTTATTAGTATCTATTTGTACAGATTTCGAACTCTACCACTACGTAAAAGGAAGAAAAAAAATTAATCAAATGCTGCAGTTTTTTCTGACTGATGTAGCTTTTGTTTTGTTTTCTTTATATGATTAATAGACTTTAATTTTTTTTTTTTTTGTAACGTTTAGGTGCTAACAATATTTTGTAAATACTGATATGAATTTCATTAAGTAGTTCCTTGAAATTGATTATATTATGCTTTGAATTCAAACTTTATTAAGGTGTATACTAATAATAAATGGTTAAATTTGCTTAAGCAGGGTGTAACTAAATTGTTTGGTACTTAATCGCTTGTTGGTAGGTTCTTATCAGCTACAAATCCTGTAGTTATTGAAAGATATCCTTGATTAATATGAATCCTTAATAGTTATAACCACAGATTGTAAAGCAATGATGGGCAATTTGAGGATTTGGTTATTTAATTCAGAATCTTATGGTTGTAGACTTTTAATATTTCAACTTTTGATAATATTAACATGTTATTGGAGTTTAGTATTTCAGTAGTTTTTTAATTTGAGCCACTCGCAGAAAGCTGGAAAAAAATTGCCCATCGCTGTTGTAGAACTTTTAACTTATCACTCTAATCATTCAAATTATGATTCAACAGTTTTGGAAAATAACAACTGCCTCCATGAATATTGTAAATGTTTTTATTTCAGTGAAAGTAAAACTCAAGAGACCTGTTAAATATTTTTGTTTACAGTTAAACCTCTTTATTTGGAACTTACAGACAATTCAATGGTATAAAAAAATGTAATGATTTCATTAACGTTATTTTGCCATTGGCTTAAGTATGTTATTCATTCAAATAATTCAATTCAATGCACTGTTACGATTTTTAAAAGATTAATTTTCTATTTTATTTTATCATCAATTTATCGAAAATGCTATGGTTGGGTTGATATTTTATTAACATTGAAGTAAACTTTAAATGATTTCATGCCTATCAAATGAATTCATGATCAATGCGGAAGCCGAGATTTGTAGTTATTTTTGATTGTGTCATATATATTAATTAGTAACTTTTTTTTTTATAACTGTTCATGATTTCAATGTATTGAGGTTTAATTGTATTTGGTTGTTTGTCTTTTTATTTGAATGAGTTACGTAATTGCGAGTGGAAAATGTTTTGGGGGGATACAGATGAAGGTTGGGGGTGAGTTGGGGAGTAGGGGAGGTACACGATGTTGGGGGGTATGGCACAATAGGTGGGGAGGTCGGGGCGCCGCGTTTAATATGTGCATGTTGGACGCGGAAGTTAGGCGGTGGGTGGGGGATTTGTGTAGGTGTTGTGTGGGGGGTCGTGGGGTGGTTAATGGGGTTTGGGCTAAGGGTGGTTCTAGTGGTGGGGCATGGTGCGGGGTGGGTGCGGGGGGGTCCGGAGGTTTGGGAAGGTGGGTTTTGCGTTGGGGGGTGGAGGGGTCGCTTTATGGGTGGTGGATGGGCTATGTGCTTGGATGGGGGAAGTCTGGTTTTTTGATTTTTTGAAGCACGGTTCTTGGGTGGGGATTAGTGTATTGTAGGAAGGGGTTGAGAGAGTGGTTTTAGGTTTTTTTTGGTGGTTGTGGTGGGGGGTTGTGTTTTGGGTGGGGATAGTTTTGTGGCGTGGAGGGGAGGGGGAGGTGGGGTGCTGGTTTGTTGATCGGGGGGGGGGTGAGAGTTGTGAGGGGTTTCATTGGTTGGGGGTTAGAGGGGGCGGGTTTTGTGAGGTTGGGTTGGTTTTTGGGGTTCTTGCGTGGGGGTTCGTATGCTGGGTGAGTGGGCGTGATGCTTGGGGTGACGTACATATAGGTAGGTGCTCTCGTCAGTTGGTGGTTGTAGGGTGGGCATGGTAGGGCACGGGTAGTGGTGATGTTGGGTATAATGGGTGGTGGGGGTGGTTTGGTGTGTTAGTGTGGATTTTGTTGATGTGTTAGCTAATGGGCTTTGTTTGTTGGTGGGGGGGATTTTGGATTTGGTGGGTTGGTTTGCGGGTTTGCTGCGTGGAGTCTGGGGGGGTTTTTTTGGGGAATTAGTTTGTTGTGGGTGGGGGTTTTCTTTGTGGTGGGTATAGGGGCGTATGGGGGGTAGGGTGGTAGAGAAGGGGAGGATGGTGGTGTGAGTGAGTATTTGCGAATGGCATTGTGGTTTTGGTTGGTTTGGAAATATAAAAGGAATTTTTAATATATAACTGTTCGTGGGGTCTTATTTTGTTGTCTATGTATATGGGGGCGAGGTAGTTACAATTTAAGAATCGTGGTTAGGTGTGGGTAATTTGGTACTAAAATGGTAGCAAATGTGTGGAAGTGTTATTTAGGTGACTAAGATTATGGCATTCATGAACAGTTTTATTATTTGAATTCTTTGGTATGTTAACGAATTTTTCAAAGATTAAATATCAATAAAATAACGATAAAAGACATTTTTTTGTTTAACAGCTAATAATCTAATTACATAAGAACATAACAAGAAATATTTTAATATATGCTACTAGATCTCGTGAGCTACAAAAAAATTCCCATTGACCATGCATCGAAAAGTAGGAAATTTTAATTTTATGTTTATTTAAGTGCCAAGTGTTTATTTGAATGATAACTCCAAAAATATTTAATTTTGGTTATTAACAATGGATTCATAGTAACTAGACGAACTTTCGTTCAAATGTAAGTAAAATGTGTTCTTGGTGAAACCATTTAAGCATCTTTTATGTACATTAACTAAGCTAAGTTCTATTTTTCATAAAATCATTGAATTTTCACAATTTTTTTTTTGTCATCTTCTAATTGGACTATATATATGTAACTTCTGGAAAAATAATGTCCTCGCTTAATAAACTTCAAGTACATAATAATAGGGTATAGTTTGTCACAAACAAGCTGAAATTTGCCACCAGTTTTGTAAAAAAAATATTTGATCTGGAATTTTCAACATTTCTCAAACTATCAGTGTTTTCTACAAACATAATTAAAATAAATAATAAAAAAACCTTACATTTATTTTTTTGTATGTGAGATTGCTTTTTATTAAATTAATCAGTACAACATTTTTTATTTATAAAAAGTTCACTTTTTCGAAATATAAATATTTAAAAATTATCACATAAAGTGATCAGTTATCATGAAAATGATTGAAGCAATTTTAGGTTTTTATTTTCATAAATGATAATTAATAATAATAAGCCAATAATTGAAATTAGTATACCTCTGTGTCTTGAGGTATGAGAATTTTCATTTGCCAGATAATGGAGCTATTTTAAAAATTAAATGTCCCACTCCTTCTAAAAGCTACTTCTTCAGACAAAATATACCCGTGGAAGTAGAGTTTCCTTTCATGAACTTCCAAGTGCTTAAATGTTATATCAGATTGCAGTTTTTATTACCAAAGAAAAATATCACTATGAGGTAACAATACATACAATATAAGGAAAGAAAATATCAATATAAGGTAATAAATAATAGTTAATTACCATTTCTAAAAAAATAATGAAACCTACCAATTCCTTGTATTATTTTCATGAAAACATAAATTATTAGGATTAGGAGCATTTAGTAGGTCACTTAATACAACAATGTTCAATGAAAAAATATATATTAGTAGAATATATTATTATAAATAATTAATTAATATATGTTTTTCACATCGATCTTCCAGCACAGGCATTTGTGATATCATTGAATCCTTAAGTATACGTGCCACATGGCCCAATCATCGGATTTGGTTACTCCTGACAATTGAGAACGAATCCGACCTTGCATAGATCTTGTGCAGATCTTTATTAATGTGAATTCTACACTTCCTATGTTCACACCCCGGAGAACCCTTCTCTTCCATGCAAGTAGCTTCCTTTCTGAGACCGTAGAGATTAGTTAAGTCTTAGAACCATAGGTGACAATGTGTCTTATAACTTTCTTGTACACTATGATTTTTGTGCTATGGGAGAGGGAACTGTAATATAATAATTTCCTAAAGGCAAAAAAGCATCTATTCTCAGCATCCAATCTTGATAATTCTGATTATCCCTATCTTTGAATTCATACTTATTGTATTATATTCATATTATTGAAATTGTAAACAAAAACAGTTTGATTTGAAATATTGGTCAAAATTCCAGATTCTTAAATATGTACTAATTTTGTGTACTACTATCAATACATTGCTAGACTTCTATTTGAATGCCATTTTTGGCATCATTCATTAAAAAAAAAAAAAATAAGAACAAAGATATTTAAAAATAAAAAGAAATAAGGAAATCTAACTATTCAGGTTCAACAACTATAACTTATTCAGGTTTTCAGCCAAAGTAACTTATAATAATAAAGTTTAGCTATTTTTTTTAAAAGTTGACCTACTGGTTTTGTGCCATCTTCAGATATAATAATAAAGTTTAGCTAATTTTTTTAAAAGTTGACCTACTGGTTTTGTGCCATCTTCAGAATGTAAGACTAAATATATGACAGGAACATAAAATGATTAATACAGAAATATGCTTCATAAAATAACTCAGTAAATGAACCAGAAGACTATTTATTGGAGAAAATGTATAATTATAATTCTTCTAGAATAACACTTTAATAAAATTACTTTAACAATTATTTATGACATTTAGTTATAAACAATCGTCAACGATATAAAATTAGATATTTTTAATACATATATTATCTATTACGTGGCCTCAGTTTGAGAAGGTTCTAACAGCATTTACTATAATTTTGAGAAACAGCTCCAAAGTTACAATTTACTGTAATCTGAATATTTCATTAAAATAACAATATTGTTTGTAAAATACCTTGAAGCAGTGAATTTATATTTGGATTCATTGATGGCTTAATTGTACCACTAAATATCATTTTGAATATTGGTTTATTAAATTTGTAGTTAGAACCTTCTCAAACCAATTACTTCCAAAGGATGCCTGTAGTACTGTCACACTGCTATTTTCTTTATTTTTCAACTGATGGCATTGAAATATATTTGGGACACAGATAACTTCGTTGTGAGCGATTTTTCAGTAAAACTCAATTTTGTTAGTAAGAATGTTTTTAAGCCAAGGTCAAGATTAGTCATATCACCAAATTATACAATTTAATGATATAATGACTAATAGATAAATACATTGAAAAATAATACCTAAATAAACTACCATTCATAATAACACAATTCATTTTATTTTAGGGTAAATCATCTTGAGATGGAACTGTTCATCTCTAAATATAGTAGATATTCTTATTTAAAGAATTGTTGAGGAAGAATAACTACTGCACATGTATGTATTACATAGCACTGAATACCAATGTAGAATATGAAATATTTATTTATTTTAATTAGGAAAACCAAAATATGGCAACCAGCCTCAAAGGTTAAGCCTACGCTTTTTATGGTATATATACACCTTCCCAGTTATGAGTAAGGTCACTGGGACTTTGGCTTTTGACTTGTGGCTTGTCCGATGCATTAGTCCCCTGTAACTGACTCAGTGCGGTCGTTCTCTATTCTGACAATTTGGATGCTATCAGTGGCAGATTTATTCTGAACTCAAGGTATTTCTTTTCTCTGATATTTGACTCATATCCATGTTCTTATTTATATTCTATTTAAATGTTACATACTTCAAATAAATGTTAATAAGTTAATTTTATTTTTATTTATTTTTTTAAATTTTGGTTTTGTCTGAATGCTGATTTGGGCACACGAGAATCTCGGTCTACCGAACAAATAAATGTAAGTTTTCTACATTTATTTATATATAATATATATATATATATATATATATATATATATATATATATATATATATATATATATATATATATATATATAAAGTGTTTGAAACTCAAAATAAATTTAAGTGCAATAATAAAATTTATAACTGCTGTTTTAAATAGGAAACATTTTTAGGTAAGAAAAAAAATTCGAATCCTGCCATCGGTGTCCTTTTTTTAGAAATAATATAATTTAATTATTATGATCACTTATAATTATTTTTATTATATTATGGAAATAATATCAATTAATGTTTATGATCACTTAGTTATTTAGCTTACAGAGCAAATACAGAAGAAAGCGAAGTGTTGCAGGATTGCCACTCTAATTTTCTAATGCTATGTGTGGCTGGGAAGGCATATGTTTCGTTTATTCAAAGTTGAGTAAAAAGATAAAAATAATTTTTGAAAGCTAAGATCTAGCAGAGTGACACAAAATACCATTTTAAACAAATTTATGCAAAAAAAAAAAAAAAAATATCCGTTTTTCTGGATGTCTTTTTGGATTTCTGGATGCACCATCTTGTAGAAATACTCAAATGAACACTCACAGTCAAACGGTTAATGTACTACAGCAAATAATCAGTTATGAAAAACAAAATTATACACTGTGGACATAGGATAAAAAACAGTCAATCTTTACTTAAAGTAAATATTTATTGATTTGAAAAATATAGTTTTTATAATTCATAATCCAAGCAATAAAGTAGATTAAAAATATCTCAAAACAGTGATCTTCATTTCAACAAACAAATTGACAATTGAATCACTTTAGGGGCCTCAAGTAATGGTCCATATGTTATATATTTCTACATCAAATCATTGAAATAACAATCACATAAAAATTAAATAAAACAAAACATCTAACATTTAACAAATTTAACAATAACTAGAAAATATTATATACCAAACAGCCATTGAATAATGTGACTTCACTATTAATATGATACAAATTCAGTCTTAAGGAAACAAGTAGGAATGATAAAAATTAATGAAAGGAATATATCTTTGCACATATTATTAATACTGACTCCATAATGTATCATTTTTCTGAAAAATCTCAAAAGGAATACTTAGTATTCATCAAGAGTTTTGGGCCTGGTTTTGAAATAGACATAAACAGATATGAGTATGAACACTGCTGCGAATGTTGGTAGTGCAATAGTAAAAATCTTCTTCTTGTTTTCAACAAAATCCTTTTTTCTTTCTTTTTTTTGTTTATTAGTTTCTTTCACTTTACCTTTAAGCTGGCGCATGATTTGATATTATCTGGAACTAATTATAAGATCTGTTGAGAAGCAGTATAATCAGAACACAATGTTAAATTAAAATGTTTAAATCAATAAATCACTTATATATTACCATGCTAACGTAAAAGTTGCATATAAGGGGTGTAGATATAATTAATAAATGCTACAATACCGTTCCAAACTACGAGACAGGTCTGTTATCAAAGATAACAAACTAATACTGATATAAACAAAAATATTCAGCAGTTAGTGAAAGAATAACAGGTGGGCAGGTAATACGAGTGTATTTTAATATAAAAGAAACATGAAATATTTACCTTTTAGGTAGATAATAGAGTTTCGAGCAGAGAACTGAAATCATGCCACGTAACTAACAATTCAAGTTTTATAAAAGTATCAAAGCGTGTAAATATATACTAAAAGGTGAAAGTAAACACCCATAGTATTAAGATCAGTTTCGCAACTTATTATATTAGAAAAATATAAAATTTCTTCATTTAATTGAGGATATTCCTTTTTTGTTTTTCTTTTAATGAAATTAAATAAAACAGAATTATATATAATTCAAGTCGGTTTGGTTTAATCCTAGATTGAAAAGGCCGTGATTCCTATCAAATCAGATTTCAGTAGTGCTCAGTCTTTATCAATGGGCTCCTACCCTGGTGACAGGGGGGATGGAAGAATGTTTTGGGTTGAATATGAATTTGTTACCCGATGAAATTATTAAGTTCGGTTTTAGGTCTCGAAATGAGTAAAAGGTAAGTTATGTCGTTAATCATGACAAAATTGTTGGACCAAATTCACCATTTCCAGTGTGGCTATTGTCAAGTATGTGTTTTTGTTGAGTATTTAAGAATTAGTTTTATCTCCCTATTTTTCAGTAGTCTTTGGTTGTGCCTATAAATCTGATGCAATGGCTCCTCACATTGGAAATCATAATGACACCCCTTTGTTGCTTAGACCACCCCTTTCAACCAGTGAAAATAAGGAGTTTGTTTGTGGATGGGGAGCAGCTACAGTGAATATATTAGTTACATTCCCAATAAACAAAATTATTTTTAGGCAGGTAAGAAGTATGGATTGTAAAATGATATATTTTAACATAAATATTTGTATTTGACTTTTAAGAAACTGGTTGATAGTGTTATTTCAATGTTAGGTAATTTTTCAGAAATCTTATCCGAATGTATTGTTCGATAAATGTGAAATCATATAGATGGTTGTGAATTCAATGTTTATAAATAATACTTTATTTTAACACAAAAGTTGTAGATCATTTAAGGTAGACTAATACATCTTTTATTTAAGCTTTTATAAATTTTGTTATTCTAATCGGACAGTATTTTTTGTTATGATCAAAACATCTATTTATTTCTGTACATTTGATATTGTTGAAGCTTTCGAATTATTTAACGTTCGTTAAGTCTGAATATTATTTCTGTTGGGATTCATATGGGCGTGTATATATATATATAAATTTTTTTTTTCTATTTACCTAACTTGGTATGTGTCTTATAAAAATAAACATTTCAACATTCTTTTTACAAAAACTTACACCATAAAGTATAAGTTTACTTTTGTATTATGTATGAAATTTATTTGAAAAACCATGACTTATGTTGGGATATAAAATATCCTCGATTTTGGCTTCAGCATCAGTTGTGTAGAAATGTGTGGCCCAAGTTACTCTGAAGCAATTATAGTATAATTCTCAGTTGTCAAAAATTAAATGATGATTAAAGCTTAGGTTTTTTCCTTGTTTTAAACAAAATTATTTTATGTTAACTTAAATTTGGACCTCCTAAGTCTGATATTTTTAACTTCTGTACAAACTAAATGTATATTTTCGTTATTTATTTCTAGATTTTATATCTAAATGTTGTCGTTCGAGACAAAATAAATAAAGTTATTTCCAAAATGTGTGAACATGCATCTAGATTTTCCTTTTAAATTTTTTCTTTATTGTTTGTAAAGTTTCCACGTTATTAAAAATGTATATTTAATTCCTAAATTAGGAATATTACAAAATAAATCAATTAATAAAACTGTTACAACGTAATCCACAACTCATATTATTGTAAAAACATAAGTATTATCTCTTTCTTGGAGAAATCTGAGTATTTCATTTGCAATTACTGTAGAAAATAGTTTAAATTTGAAAAACAAGTATTACAAATTCTTTAATTACTGCAATCAAGCTTTTAACAGTTAACTGACTATTGACTGTTACCAACTTACTATTCATGGACAATTTTTATTAGTTTTGTTTATGAAGGTATCTTTAGATCAGGAAAAGTTTTAGGTTTTTTATTTTTCACTGAATGAAAAAAAAAAAAAGTAAAAAAACATTATTTTGTTGTCTTGGTATTATTTTTCTATATTGTAAAGAAAGGACACTAACCTGTTATAAGGCCTCGAAGGAGGCCTTGAACTCAACCATTTCCATGCTTCCTTATTCCTTATTTTCAAGATCATGGCTTCCACATAACTCGATGTATATACATGTACAACTTTAGTATTAATAATTTATTGGTATTAGAATCTATAGCTCTGAAGAGATTTTTTTTTTTTTTTTTACATGTAGTCATAGTATGTATTAAATTAAATTAGTGTTTTTCAAAATTTTAATGAAATTTGACACATGAAAAATTGCTAACATGAAATATCCTTTTAATATATTTATTGGTATATGAACTCTAAAATAACTAGATTATTTTCATCAGCTTCAGAAAAAGAAAATATTGACCCAATTGTCAGCAAGTTGGGATCAGTCTATATTCAATAACATATCAAAGTTATATTTGTCATTGAGTGATTGGAATTATACATGGGCTCTGGTTAAGGGGCAGCAAGAGGTGCTCAGAAGGGGCTTTCATGTTTCGTCATCAACATTTTTGAGGAGGGCACATTTTGACAGGGTTATGAATTTTCCGAGTAAAAAATTTGAAACAAGGGGACAAGAGGAAGTGTAATTGTGTATGATTTATGATTTTTCTAATTCTACTTTTGCTTAAACACGTTTTAAGAAGAGGAGAGCAATAACATTTCTTGGGAGGGGTAGAGAAAGTTCACGTGCTGTCTACCTTGGAGGGGATGTGCAACAGGCCTAGAATTAATGCTTATATATTGTCATAGTTAGGGCCCATAATAAATTTTATCTGAAGGTTTTCAGATAGCCCCATTGGTGAAATAAGAATTACATGAATCAATGGAACTCAGAAAATGTTTTTACAGAATTTATCAGAAAACCGCTTTTAGGGCTATCTAACATCGCCCGAAACCTATATGAACTCATTATTTAGTATTTCCACATTAGACATTCTGAAACAGATTTGAACCTAGTCAAATACCAATTAATGATGACTTTTTCTGTGAAAATAACAATGGAATTGGGAATTTAAAACTGCCTGAAATTTCTGATCTGTATAGAAAAAAATTGACGTTATAGGGTCTAGTCTATCAAGGACACTAGACTTTGAGAAAAAAAAAAGATGAGGAAATGGAGAATAATTAAATTCTGGAATTGAAGTTCACTATGCAATGATACTTAAAAGTTATAGTTCATGATAAACACTGAAACATGGATCATCTTTTGATTTGTATTTAGAGATTTGTATGTATTAAATGGAGTGTTATTACTCAACAAATTTGGTTACTACTTCGGAAGCACTACTCTTTCAGCCATCTTGGTTGATGCTAGGCTATCAACAATGTTTCAGGCAATGCTTACAATAGATAGCCCCAGACAGCACCACTATTGCGGAGAGGTAGTCTTGTCCCCTCCATCTCACATTCATTTTAAGTAAATATAGAAATTATATCGTTTAGGTTACATATTATCTGCCTTTTTTTTAAAGTTGGCATTCTTTTCCCCCCATTTTCACTTTATAGGAAATAAATATCAATTGAACACTTATTCGATTTTTGTATTTGAGCGCTTTCCCAATATAATCAATAATTGTTTAACCAAGGATTTTAGGTTCTTTAACACTATACTTAACCATTTGTTCATCACAATATTACTATCATGTGGTTTATTCATTTTAAATAACTCGGTGCTAGTTTTATGTTACAATTTTCTTGTGTGATGGATGCTTATGGTGTTAATATCATATAAATGTATCTATATACTAAACGAAATGATTCAGTAATTAAGTATTGTTCTTTATGATCTGTAGAGTGTAAGTACTTGAATATTGAACTTTACTGTAAAATAAACAGAAAAAAATAACCAACCGAACCTTTAATATTTGACAAATATGGATTTAAATTTGTTTTGAATGTACACACACAACAATGATGTAGTTTACATAGATAAGTGTTTGTACAGTCTTTCATTTCAGTAATCTCCTAGCTTCTACAATTCAACTCATCTCATCTCATATCTGTATCTTAGTTTTCTGCATGAACAGTCAGCATGGTCCAAGAACGACTGGGCTCAAATAATATTTTAAGATGTGTTAAGATTTTTATTATTCATGTCACATCATTGGGCAAGAGAGTGAAGAAGACAAGGAATGAGTTTGAATAGTGCAATATCTCTGATGTAAGTCAGTAATGGTTGGGCGTAGAATCACTTGGGGGGTGAAGACTGATAACCATGTGCTCTTAAGAAAAACACTTTACTGCAAAAAGCTACATACCTGACATCTTAGAATTATGTAAGCAGTAAGTAGCATCATTTACCCTTTATATAGGCATTCATTTAATTTTAATGCTTGACCATTTGTTGCAAAAGTGGTTAGTGATATACACCTGATGTATGACTTTATATACACCTTACAGTGGCCAGCCACAGCCCAATCTTAATCCCATTGAACATCTATGGGATGAGCTAGATAGGTGTATTTGAAAGAGACCAAACTTTCCCAAGGATTTTGGAGTCACAAGTGTGGAGGAGAGATACCTCATTAAACAGCAAATGGTTTAAAATTTAATTAGTAGCTTTCCTTATTTTTCAATCTGTTTCCAGTTATTCCTTGTTGAAAATGTACATACAAAAAAATAAAATAAACTCTATGAACTAGAGAGAAAAAAATTACAGGTATGCCTTTTTTTTGCTGTTTGGTATACTATATTTTTTTTTAAATTGCTTTTGTATATCCCAAAAATTTAAACATTAGTTTTTGAAATTAAAATTCTCTTAATATTTTATTTACATTTGCTAATGATTCTAATTAATTTTCAGATGCTACATAATTTGAACACCCTCGCAGCAGTAGAGCAAGTTGCCAGTGAAGGTATCTTTCGACTTTACAGAGGTGTTGTTCCACCATTATGCCAAAAATCTGTCTCTGTTTCTATAATGTTTGGAATGTATGATAAATGTCGGCGCCCACTATTAGATAGAAATATAAATCCATTTCTTTCAAAAGTTATAGCAGCTAATGTAGCTGGCACTATAGAGTGCATTTTGGTACCATTTGAAAGAGTCCAAACCTTGCTTCAACATGAAAGATACCACAAAGAAGTGTTGAGTATGAAACATGCAGTGAACTTACTTTGGCATCGGCACGGTTTTGCAGAATTCTATCGTGGACTTGTACCTGTTCTTTGTCGGAATGGCCCATCAAATGCTCTTTTCTTCATTTTTCGAGACAAGGCAAATGAATTATTTCCAGAACCTACTAAGTTTCCCAGTCGTGTAGTCAATCAGTTTGCAATTGGGGCAATGATCGGAGCTCTGTGTTCAACTATATTTTACCCCTGCAATGTTTTGAAAGTCCATATGCAAAGTCGAATTGGAGGTCCTTTTCAGTCTGTGATATCGTCAATAATTGAAATTTACTTGGAGCGTGGAAGTATCAAGGCTTTCTTCAGAGGGGTTCACCTCAACTACACTAGATCTTGCATCAGTTGGGGCGTAATCAATGTTGCTTATGAAGGATTGAAAAAGATCTTATAAAGACATTATTTTTGCTTTTATTTGAATACCATGAAAGCCAAATTAATTTAGATTACTTGTAGAAACATTAAAAAAAACCTTGAATTTTAAATTTCTGGTAGAAAAAGTAAGTAGGCAAAAATCATGTAATATGAATCTATTTCTAGGTAGAGCAAAACATGCTGGCATATTTTTAAATAGTTACCTGTACAATTGTTGAAATTGATTATTATGAAATTATTTCAAAATTGTTTTCAGTTGAATGCAATGCACAATTTTGGTTCATAGTGAATTTATGTTTTTCTTATTGCTTAAATATTTGGCCTAGCACAAAAATGTGTATTGTAATATTTATTTCAACAGGGTTATAGGCAACTATTTACAATTTTAAACTAATATATAGTTTTCATTCTTTTTTGGGAAACTTGTTCCATATATATTATGGTTCCTGTAACTTGAGAACAGATACAAACTCTGTGTATGCAACTTTTTACTAACTGTATATGGGCATTTGATTTTTATTGACTTTCCAAGATGTATTTCATTTCTGTAAAAAAAAAAATATTTTAATTAATCAAGGGTACAGGGAAAAAACATAATGTTAGAAGTTTAAAATTTAAAGAAAATCTTGTATTTGAAACAATGGTAAGATTATTAAAGTGACATTTTTCCTTTAGTGAGCCACCAAACATACACCATGAACTCTGTATCAAGATCTTGATAAAAATTCTACTCATAATCTTTTTCACAATTTTTCTAATGAAAGTTTATGAGCCCTAAAATTACAAAATAGCCATTTGGTGATTCTGAATTAACATTTTCAAAAAATAAGGGTGGGAATTTTAAAATCCTAAGAATGTTGAACTTTAAAATATTTCATTTTTAAACAAATAATAAATAACCAAGTCAATTTGCAATGAAATAATTTATTTTTTAAAAAATCAGTATGATGGAAAGCAAAAATCTTCTCAAACTCAAAGATAAATATTTTGATTTATTCGTTTGTGTGCATTTTTAATATGTGTATATTTAGTGGATCTGTTTCCATTCCTGAATTGTATGAGAGTTCAACCCAGTTCTTGGACTCCATTGGTCTTAGAATCAACCTATTAGATTAAGACTGTCTTATTGAAGATTTTCTTTTTATTTGAGCATTATTTTAAACTAATCCAGTGTGTCTTGCCTCTAAGAATATTGCAATGGAGAAACCTCTGAACTAAATATTTATTTTTACCTCCAGGCAATTTACAAAATATGGAGCACATTCTGAATTAAGTTTTCTAAAACAAAGCAAGAAGGAAAGAGCAATGCCAATTATATATAAAGTTGATCAGCATGAAAATAGTATGTGATGTATTATGAACAAATAGTCCTTACCTTAGTCAGGGCTTCCATATCCCTGATTTTTGCGTCAAATATGAAAGGAATATGTAGTCCACAGCAATGGCTTTAACCGATTGTTTTTCAAGCTAAAAAGCTAGTATTAATTTTTTGGTAGTACAATAGCTGAGATTTTGTTTGAAAACTTTAATTATGATTCTATGGCCTTTTCTCCAGTCCTTAGGAAGGTTATGTTTGTTTACCTATTTGGCTCATATACAATGCTGGTCTTCCTTATACCTTCACTCTGGGCGAAATCATGGTAAAATATCAAAGATTATATAAAAAAAAATAAAAGTAGTAGAAGTTTATCTCCATCCTGTTGATCAATACTTTATTAGGTTGGGTTTTGGACCCTTTTAACTAGAATAAAAAAAATCAGTTATACTTTAATCTAAGAATGCCTACTTTGTGCAGACTAATCAAAACTACCTAAAAGTACATCCCTATGAGTCTCTAAGATGAAAGTGGAAATGGAAGAGTTTTTATCTATTTTAAAGTTTATTACATTTTTTTTTCATTTCCGGTTTTTACTCTTTTAGAGTATTTTATTTCCGGATTATACTGGTTTTTAGGTTCTTGGGTAGTTACAGGATAGGTTAAAAATTATTTATCTTATAGACCTCAAAGGAATCTTACGATATTTTTCAAATAACTTTTTGTGAAGTTTTTTTTTTTTAATTCAGTCACGTATACTATATAAAACATTCTTCCTTCATACAAGTGTTCATCGCCATGATTCCAATATTCAGATTTTTTTTGTAGCTCGACTTTTCTTTTCGATGTCATTTTATTGATTATGAACTCTTTGACACCCGTATCCAATCCGTCTTTAACATTAATTTTAAGACGCTCAGTCGTGGCATCAAAAGTTGATATTGAATCTCCAGTACTCGGGACTATCGGCATTCAGCCACCGAGGCTTAGATTTTGAGGATGATTTATAGAAAATTCATATGAAAGAACTCATAGTTATTTGAAACGTGGGTCTGACCTTGCGACATTGCATGGCCGCTCCAAGTTTTTGTCAAGTAGGCATTCTTCTAGTATTTTCTTCTATTATACCCGAGCTGTATCAACTTCTCCGAACACCTTCACCAGTATTAATTTTTTGCACTTTCAAATTTCAATGGAACTAAGTAATACTCTATTGAAAACATGTAAATTTCTCACAGAATAAAATAATGTTGATTTATAACTGGGATATGATAGGCGTAGTATCTTTCTCTTTTCTAATATTTCTTTGTAATTAGAGTATGTTAACAAAATGTTTTCTGATATAATTTTAACTTATGCTGTGTTTTTCTCTTTATGGTTAACGTATTGTTTCCACATTTAAAGAAAATTGCAGACGCAAATAGTAAACGATCATCATTTAATAGTACTCATTATGTCCAACAGAGTTCGCTAAATTGCTCTGAAAATTGTTGAATTATAGGTCATTTGTTTTTCCACTGTACCCTTAAAAAAATGTGAAATAGAAAATGTATAAAGATATGCGTTTTTAGAAATTGCAAGATGTACCTAATTTTTAGATTACAAATTTTATGTAAAATAATTTTCCTATTTAAAACGGTAAAATATTTATGAAATTGTTAGTTTTAATGTATATATTTATATATAAACGGAATAGAACAATTTTTTTTTCTTATAAATACTGTTGATTTTAAAATTAACACAGTATTATAATTGTTATTTTGAGTTGTTCCAAAAGAGTCTGTTAATATATTAAATGTTGTATCTGACTTGTTTTATTTATATTTTTGTTTTTTTCAATTCAATAATCGTAGATGGAAGACTGGATTTGATTTTGAGGACATAATTTCTGTGCTGAACCTTGAAATTATTAAATCAATTCTAGGTTAATTTTAATGTTTATAAAACAAATATGATTTAAGTGGTGAGTAATGTGTATTAAGCAAAAATAATGTAGTTATAATTTCAATCCTTCAAGGTTTTGTTGTATAATCCCCTTAATGATGACAATATCCAGTTTTTTGTTGGTGCAGCTTTCTCTGACTAATGTCCTCTTAGCTTTTCCAATTTCCATCTTTATCATTTTCCTAAACTATTAAACAGCCTTCCTCTCCTACAATTTATGCATAGACCAGAAATAATTATTACATATATACAATTTTAATTTTTAAATTTATTGGACATATTTCACCATGATATATTGTGAATGTCAGAGGTGTTAGTCAAGTAATGTCTTTTCTTTTAAGTAGGAACAGTTTTAATATAAATAATACATTTAATTTTATATAATGGTTGTTTGAAATTAGTCAGTATTCAGACTTAATGTCTGAACTGAAACAACTTGGCATTCATCGTGATCAGCTCCAAAGGGAATTGTTCAAAGTAAAAGGATGTACATTATTCTCTTACTCATTTTAATGACTGAACTTTTTCTCATAAGAGTGAATTAGGAGCTCAAAAGATAAAAGAGATATGGAAAAATTAGGAAATGTTGATAGAAAATTTTTATTATGTTTATTTTATTTAAGAACTAAAACATGAAATGAAGTAAAAAAAGATAATAAACAACCATTTTTATTAAAATTTGGGGTCTTTTTAAATTGTTATTTGTTATATTATTTTTCCTTAAAGTGTAATTGCTTGACTGTAACAATTTTACTTTATGAACATAGCTTATAAATTTTAATGAATGATGGGTAAAATTTATTCCTAAACTATTTTCTAGTGCTAGTCAGAAATTTAGTCATCTATACTAATTTTAAATAATGGTAAATATTTTTATTTAAAAGTAAAAAACGCTGTTAAAGTGTTTCATTACCTATGAAGTTGTTGAAAATAGATACATTATTGGAAGTGATGGTTAGCAGGAGTTTAAATGGATTATTTATGTACATATTTGGGTGTCCATTGACTTTAATTATCTCTATTAATAAGTTCCTCGATGAATGCTCTGTTTGTACTACTGTGATTTATTTACTTTAGTAAATAAAATGCAATGGTACAAACTATAATCATCCCTCATTTATTAGGATTTTTTTATATCTGAACTATAAAATATATTTCAACATGGTTTTATTGTCTTTTTACTCATTAAAATCTATAATGAACCTACATTAATTATCTGTGTAAGTTGAGCAGTTATAGGTATAAACCTCTAATTCTTCAATTTACATCGAAGTTACTTATGGCTAAGGAAAACCCAAAGTTAAAAATTGTTTTGTAATGAACTAAATTTGTTTGCTACAAAAATGTGTTTTTCTCTTGACATATATACAGATGCATTTATCATTTAAAAGTATGGGTTACCGTTAAGCATAATTAAATTTCATAGCTTAAAAAAAATCCTACAATAAACGCCTTTTCTATTAGTTATTTTAGTTTAATGATTATTTATTTTTATTATTCCTAATCAAATAGAATGCAAGATGGATGTTCACAGACTCTTTTGGCCTGGTTTATTTATTTTTAAGATGATGCAACTGACTTCAAGGAGACATGACTCTCTAGTCGCGATTTTTTATTTTTTTATTTTACTATTATATATTCATTTTTTAAAAGAAAGACCCAAGAACGTTTTAGAAGAAGTGAGTTTAAAATAATAAAAAAAGTAAGTAAATATGTAAGTAAAAAACATTGAAAACTTCGAATCGCTGGTATTGTGAAAGACCGGAGCTCCTAGACCTTTTTTTTTGTGGTCGTTTCAATGGATCCAACCCACAAGTGTGATATTTGTAGTGAAACTCTAAAAGATTTTAATGTCTCTAAATCCCTGCTACACAATGTCATTCCAACGTATATTATCCCTCGTTTTTAAAAAGTCGAATTCTGGCAACCATGGACTAATGAGAAAAAAATACAGTAATAAATATATACATAGCCACAGAAAACACGATCTTGATATCGTTCTGTTGTTGTAGCTAGTGTTAAACGAAAAATGTAATTTATTTATTTATTTATACAATATAGGGTAAGCGCGCAAGTGACGGACATAGCTTAGGAAATTTTTATCTTTTTTGGCTTATACCTCCGTAATTATTATAGTTATAAACTTCTCCGTTAGACATTTTGAATCTCTAAGGTTTCCTTTTTCTATTTAACACTTAATAATTGAAAAAATATTCAGTTATGCAGATTTAGTCTCCATTACAAAAAAAAAACACCATTTTGCACTAGTGTTGGACACGCCGAACTTCAATCGTTCCAGTAATGGACAGGGGTTCGGTACCAGTAAAATACATACCTCAGAAAAATTCTAAAATCTTTATTTAAATATAAAGATAAGATAAATGTTCAACTTACTCTTAGCAAAATTGTTAGTAAGAATGTATGAAACACGCTGATTAGTGGGTTCATACACTATAAAAACTACAATGATAGTCATTTTAAAATTTTCTTTAGGGACCTTTGTTCATACAGTTGTCAATAGAAGGCATTGTTCTTCAACCTAGAAGAAATGAACGTTTAAATCAACAAGAAAGCTTATTATTTACATTTGAAGTCTCACTTGTCCATAACTGGTGCGTTCACCCTAACTCCTACATAATAAGAAACTAAATATTTATTGTAAATAAATTCTACCTGTTGTTAGAGAACTAATGTATACAATACTCTACCGCTAGAACCTATACGTTAAGTTGGAGTACTTTCTCATTAACAGTTGATCCTTGAACGACTGTAACAGGAAGTAATTCGAGAATATGCTCTACTTTATGAAGGCTAGGTGAATCCAGTTGTTTATTCCAGAAGCCATCCGTGGCTGACAAACCAGTAAATTTTTCTGTCCAGGTTGTGGATATCCTGTCTCTTACTTATTCTTTGTTTCAAAATTTATTTTAAAGTTCTACTAAAGATTTAATAAATTCATAAAAGTAAGAAAAGCTTGTTTCGATCTTTTGTTCTGATTAAGCAAATGGCTATTTACTTCGTGCCATGAAAGAAACTTCGACCTTCCATTGTTCGCTTGAGTAGCATCGTAACCTTTATTACTCACCCTCATTAATGTTTTATTTAAGCTATGTTAAAATACAATGCGTTTATCAAATTGATACACTACAAAAATTATTATTTATAAATACATAATTTGCAGAAGGGCGGATGGGTGTGGGAAAATCATAAACATTAAAACGAAATATTTGCTGTTTATTTTAATACGATTATACGTTCTTGTCTTTTTAATATGCTTTAAAATCGGTAGATGTATACCTATTATTAAGCATTAATTATTTTAATTGTAATTAATTGCAGCAAATTTATATAAAATTTTTGTTTTGTTTATCTCAAGGATTCTACAAATTTACCATGGTTTTATTTTATCATAATCTACTTTTCATCTTAAAAATAAATAAATCTAGTCAAATAGTAAATTAATGTTAAAATAAAAAAATATGTTTTCTTATCTTTGAGCCATTACTTACATTTTCGTTGTGCTGTTTTATTTTATTTGTTTCAATAATTTTTTTAAATAAAATAAATTAAACTTACCATTGATAACAATTTATTTTTTGAATGAACAATTTCAAAATACGTGTTACAGACACAAGGTATAGTGAACCAATTGTTTTAAAAATAAAGTTAATAAATACAAAATTCTAATATTTAAAAAATACATATATTTTGAATAATAATCATAATAAACCAATTAAGATAACTTTGATCCGGCCATGTTGAAGAAAAATATAATTCAAAATATTATGTATTGTTTATATTTTCAAAGTATGGGTGTGGCATAGCCATAAAGAATAAAAAACATAAGACAAAGATGTTAGTTATTTCTGAAAAAAAGATGTAATAAACCATTAAAAATTGGACTTATTTCTTAATTTATACCGAAAATGATCAACATTTTAGATAACTGGATAGAAGTATTAATCAGAAAAATAATCTTAGAAAAAAGAATTTTTTAACGGTATAGTAAGTAAATTTTATTAGACTGAAAAAATAAAATCTTATTTTATACCTGTTTACCCAAATCTACTGTTAAGATATAACAAAGAAATTTTCTAAGTATATAGGTATAAAAATAAAATTTAATAGAGCCTTGAATATCCTTGTAAATGGTAATAAGAAAATTAATTTCTTAGTAAACACGTTTATATTATAATTTTATTTTTTAATTTTTTTTTCCTTTAGTAAAACTAGACGCAAGTTAAAGGACTGTATGTATGATTTGACTGTAGTTGCTAATGTGGGCATTTATTAGTTGAAAGCTTATTTCTAATTTTTTAAACATTTTGTTAATTTGTTTTGTGTTATTAGATTATTTAGTCAAACCTGTAGACAGTAGTCAGTAGAATGAGTAAAAAGTAGACTGATTTTTCGGGGATATTGTTAGTTTGTGATTTAGCTTTTTTTATAATTATACTGATTCACCTTGTTTTTTTAAATGATGCATTTAAATTCTGAAACATGAATGAATTCTGCTAAAAAAAATAATATATTAGTAAGATAAGTTTAATTTTTTTAGTTAATGAGAATTGATTTATTTATTCATTATTTTTCATCCATTAGAAAATACAATAATTATTATATTCCTATTTTATTTAAAACCAAATCATTAATTTCTATTGAATTCAATTTATCTATTTTGAGAAGAAATTAATTATATGACCAATTAGTGGATAGTTTTTGCATTATTTGATGAAAAGATATAAAACATTGCAGTTTCTCTGATTTTAAAAAAATTTCAATCTGCTGTAATAATTCTTGTTTGTTTCATATCGACTTCATTCATAGATTTGATGCTTTTCATCGTTAAATTTGGTCCTGATAAATTATTTCACTAATCACATGAACAAATAAATAATAGGTATCATGATATTTGGTAATAGATATAATCAAATAATATTCAGACGTAATTAAACAAAATCCTCCGAAAATGATACAGTTTAAAATAATATAGAAAAAAATGGAACTGCTAAAGTTGGTCACGACCTGTTATTAAATTACCAAACTGTTATAAACTGTTACTAGCTTAATTAAGCAGGACCGGAACTAGGAGTTTTGCTAGGAGGGACTGGCTTAATTTTGTTGCTACCTCTGTCGCTCCTTTCCCCCTATCTTTCCCAGGAAAGTGAACACTGTATATCATTATTTTAGGTAATATATTTCGAAATAAATATCAACTCGTATCATTGACTGATTCAAGGTCAAAATAACCAAAACGTGGACAGAAATATTTCGTAGCTAAGAAAACAAAATTCTCGAGATTTGCCGTCTTCTAAATTCTGCAATCCATGGCAAATGTCCCCTTTACCCCTCCTTAGTTCCGATCCTGTAATTAAGGATAAAATGTTTGTAGAAAAGAAAAATATATAAAAAGTCGGTAGACAAAAATATAATGAGAATAGAATTTTGAAAATTTTAGCTAAACTATATGATATTAATTTTTTTTAAAGCCAAACAAATTTCTTTTAGAAAATTTAAAAAAAAATAGAATGATAGTTTAATTTATCAGGTAATAGAGGATCCACTTACGTAGTTAATTTTATCAGTTACGTCACTTAAGTCGACATGATAATAGAACTGCGAAAACATTAAAAGACATGATTTATTGAATTTGATGTTGGTTTATACATTTTCACGTAAATAATTTCCATTTAATCTTAATAAATTATTTTTAGTAGTTACAGAATTCAAACAGGGAATATAAGACTTCAGAAATTTAATATACTTTCAATTGAATCAGTTGTTTTATATAAATACTTTTATTCAAAGTTATTATAAATACAAGCAAATACTATTGCTTTGTTTGTATTGCTTAGACTTTTAGAATATTTTTTATAGATATCTTAGAGTATCTTAATTACCTTTTTGTGATAGAAGTAGTGATATATTGTAATATTGTGAAGAACGTCAGTCTATTATTTCCTGATGTAATATTTTTAAAATCAGGTGCTAACTGACACGGTAGGAATTTAGTTTACACCGCCATGTGCCTTATTATCTTAGATGAAAATGTTTAATTCCTCATTTATACCATATGGTGCTGATGCTTGTCTTGAAACTGGCACTCGCCTGTAAAGTTCTTCCTATGCTGCCGTCCAGCTTACTTTTTAACTCTTAAAACAAAATTTTAATTTTAATTTTCTTATATAAAAATTTGCGTTATAACAAAATTCATGGAAAAACTATAACATTTACATATATTATTGTTATGTTTTAATATTGCTCCTGTAATGTTAATGAAATAATATTTCAATTTAAATCATTGTTATAGTCTGTTTGTTTATTTAGGTCGTAAAACCCTAGTGTCATCAACGCCTACATTGTTATAGTTTACTTAAGGTTAAGTTATTTCAAATATTGCTAGCGTATATCTGTTTCATCAATTTCTTTATTGAATAATGAAACGTTTATATTTATTCACATATTGCTTAGTTGGTGCTCACTTAAGTGTCAAGGTTGATAAAAATATAGAAAATGTTATGTATTTTCTTATTAGGCATAATTTATGTAAAACAATAAATATTCCATTTTTTAATATAACAATAGGTTCATTCTTTCCCTCCCCCATGTTATTCATTTAGTCCTATACTTTCTTAGTTCTATATCTCAAGACACGGGCGGATCTACGTGGGGCGGGAGGGGCTTTCGGGCTGAAGCCTCCCCAAAATGGCAAAATATAACCATGTTTTATCGAAAAAAATATAAAAAAAAGCATCTCTTAAAGTATTATTGTTCGTGTGATTAATATTAAAAGGGCTTTAGGAATCACTTAAACACCATTTCATACAGGTAGTTAGTTTCTTTCTTTTTTTCAAAAGTAATTATCGTTATTTTTATGAAAAAAAAAAGCTTTCGGGCTGAAGCCCCCCCCCCAAAAAATTAAATCCTGGATCCGCTAGTGTCTCAAGATACGTTTTAACGGAAGAACTTCGTGTATATTCGAACAATTTCATTCTAAATTCCATCTTTTCAAACAATGTTTTATATATGCACACACACATACCCAACTAACTGAGCTACCACTATACCGAATCTGGACTCCCTCTTATCAATAAGTCTACTTAATAAAAAAAAATATATCTGTGCCTAAAAAATTGTAGTTTATTTTATTTCGAAAAATCTTTTTTCACATTAAAACTCACATTTTATGCCATTTCCGTCTAGCAGAAAATAGGTGAATATTATGTTTTTATGTTAATATAAACGAAGTTTTAACAAAGTTTTATATGTTGAAGCATTTTTCTATTCTCAAGAATTCCTATTAAGTTATGATTTTAGTTAAATGTTAAAACATTAGAGTATGCGAACATTTTCAAAGAAATTTTACCCGTTGTGCTCATAAACAAATTTTGAATTAATGTTATCTATATAAATTATTTAAGGTTTGAAACTAATATGAAAAAAAAAATCCTTTAGATGTAGGATCATTTTTAAAAATTAGGTCTGAGATTTAGTTACCGATGAGTGGCAACACTGTAGACAACGAATCTTCGTTGTTTTCAATAATTTAAAATGTAAACCGTGTCAATATTTTAATTTATTAAAATCTAGTTTAAACTTAAAACAGAATATTTTAACATTAAAAGCAAGAACATGCTGATTCTTTTCGAGAATTTATCAGGTGATTATTTTTTAAAATTTCTAATGTGCCGTTCTCAACAACAGCTATTTAATCAACTTCTTTTTTTTTTTTAGTGTACCTTCTTTAACATAACAATCAAAATAACAAATGGTAGACCGCTGTCAATATTGTTTGAGCATTGAGATTTTTTTTATGAAATCGAGATAGTTTTAGGTGACGCAGTCTGTTAGTTATTACGTGCAAAGTCATACTAATTTGATTACAGTAACGAAATTACCGCCGAAAACCAATCCAAACAATTTAATTTTTAAGATACATATTGAAAAATATAAGTTTATAATAGTACTTGAAATATTTGTGTTAGCGATTAATAAATGTTATGTGACAAAAAATGTTTTTCTCTCAATTGTTTACCCATTCTGTTATCAGATTTTTTATAAAACCATAACATTTAAGGATTTTAAACGATTCTTAACTGAATTCCGAAACTTTCAAAACAATATTTGAAATTATTTAACAGAAGAGTCACCTTAAATCACAAATTTTAAAAAGGCTGTGTTTTCAAAATAGGAAGGAGTCCTAGGAAAAAAAAAAAGGGACTTTAAATTTCTTTGAGTTATGTCCTAATAATGGACTATATCAGTTTTGATTAAACTCACTGACTATAATTTTTTATTATTACAGTTTAGTTTTTAGATAATAATATTCTTGTAAACTTTCAAAATGTTAATAGCGGATGGAATCAGTTATAAATATTTTGTTTATGAGAAAAAAAAAAAATGTTTTATGGTGCTTTTAAAGGAGTATAATATAATGGATAGATTCATGAAACAGGATGTTGAAGATTACAGGCTATGTAATACCACAGTTGTAAATGTAAGGATAAATCAACACTGACCTTGTCAAAACATAAGTATCAAGTTGGGCTTGGCATGCAATCCAATCTTCAAATAACGTTTTTCTTATTTAAAAGTAAGTTAATAAAAGGAGAATAAATTGACATTTAAATCAAAATGAATTTTATTGAATCTTATTAATAAGAGATTTACAATTATTGACTTATTTGTAACATTATTTACAATTTACACATTACTATTTGATTCGTTGATTTATATTCAGAAAATAAATTTACAATTTTTCATTACGACTTAAAACTTTTCCACACATTAAATTTTTATTTTTATTTTATCTATATTTATCTTATTTTTTTCCCCCAAAATATATTATGTACAATTGTTATATCTATTTTAATATTTTATAACAAATATGCATATAACTTTGTTATAAAAACAACTGTTCGATGTAAGTAAAATAAAGCTTATATATAATACATAACAAAGTTTCATATTTACATTTATGTTTAATGGTTACAACAATAATTTAAAGTTATCTAAGATCTTTCCTGCTATCCAAAATAAAATCCTTTCTTCCTAGATCCTTATCTTTTGTATTATCTAGCTTGTTACAATTGATATAAACATAATGAATATGTTTCTTGTCTTATATTAAATTAGTGATTTCATCATAATTTGAGAACAAATAATGTGATTTGTGAGAACACACAGAATGTGATTCAACTTCATAGGTCTATATGACTTAGTTTGAAAAAATTATAAAGCTGTAATAGCTATCCTAATTGCAAACTCCTAAAAGATTTAGTGGTTTGGATCTAACAAGAAAGAACTCTAATTTCAGTTATTTAAAGCCAATGCTACATTCAGTATTATTAATCACATATTATTTACGGTATTACATCTTATTTCGACTTAATTCAGTACTTTTACATTACAAATACACTCTTCTTCAAAAGTAGACTGTTAAGTTCATGTTTTCTGAGGCTTTGATGTCTCCAAGGGGTGTTACACTTACGTCTGGGTCAATTTCAACCTATAAAAATATATTTCATTTGATAAAAATTCACTTATGACAGACATAAGTTTAAAGATAAATTCTATGGCACTGTTGTGAGCAGCACTCAGTATAAAAACTGGCCCAGTGTTTTTGATATTGTTTTATCAAGTTTTTACATTTATGTTTACATTGTATTGATAAAAATAATAAATTCTGCAAAAAATTAACAAAAAATTACGTAAGTTAACAAATACTGGATCCACTAGTGGTATAGTATATATTAAAATATTTTTCACTGGAAGAATTTTAAAGGAGTGAAAGATTACATTTTGATTATTTAATACATATTGTTGATTAGTTAAATAATTATCTTTTCCATATGTATGCCATAAAAAATGGCATTGCTTATATACACATACTTAGAGCAATATCGTTTACTTGATCCTGATTTACGTATTATGCAACCTGAATAAAATATTAAAGAGGTACCAAGATAAGTAAGTAATACTATAAATTTTTTTAATTGCCATCAGATGCTCGAAATTACAACACAGATTGTATTTATAAAAATAAAAGAACTATTGTTATTTTCACTTTCTTTGCAAGACCGTGCGGCTACAATGTGGCCTTGCTTCTATTATTACTGTATTACTCATTTATTTTTTAAATTAAATTTTTATTGTAAAACTATTTTCATCTTTTTAATACAATGAAACAACATTTACACGATGGTTGTTTTCAAGATTATTTGTTTTGAATCATTGGTTGAATTATTTATAATTAATTTGGTCGATTGACAGGGATTCTTTGTATCTCTTAATTGGAAGAAGAATGAAATTGTATAAGATGAATTTTTGTTTCAACTAATAAAATAAGAAATTATTAAAATTTTAATAATATTGTTTAATCTTAAAAATAGAACATGATAATAGCAAACAGTTTTTATGATATTTATTGTTATCTGAGATTTCATTGCTATAGAGATGATTCATTAATGTTACCTGGTTACTAATTAAGAATGTAGACTCAGATATTACATTATTTATTCTTATATGATCACCTTTTGTTTTAATTGATTCAGGGATAATTTTTTCATGTTTCTAGTTTCATTTGAAAATAGATAAAAATAATTCTTATAAAATTGTAAAAGTTAATTAGTGTTTACAGTTATATGCATTGAATCCAGGAAGAAAAAATATTGAAGAAAAGAAAGGCTGTAGGTATAATTCCATACCATAGTAGTAAAATTATTAAAGAGTATATTGTTATTTATTCGCATGTAATTGTCTAGCCATAGATGGTAATTTCCATAAAATATCGATTAATTCTTTTATTACTGAAGATTTCAAATACCATAGTTATAATAATAAGCGATTAGAGATGGGAGAGAAGAAAAGATAGGAGAATGTGGTACGAATATAAATCTTAGTTGATGGAGTTGAAAAATATTAAAGAAATTTTATACACTCATGACCCCTCCTCAAACCAGGCGGAGTATTATAAATGGCTTTCATTTGAATTTAATTAAATACTAAAGACTTAATGTGCAATTTACTTTTCTGTAGTAGTTACTCTTTTCTTTGGAAACAATATGGTCAGTACCATGTGTTTATCCTCTGTTATATTGTGAATGGACTGTTTGGATTTGAACATTTTGGAGAATGGTCTGGTAAAATAAGATATTGACCTTCTCCCTCTTCTCTCCCCCCAAAAAAGAAAGATATAGAATGATGACATGTTCTACTGTTCAGTGACCACTATATAATACAATTAAAAAAATTCTAAATTTTATGGCAGGAAAGATAGGCCTACGGTTTACACTTTTCCAGAATAGAAAAAAAGAAAACGATAACCTGAGCTTTATGACTAATCTTTTTTTGTTAATCGCAATATTAAAAACTTTGGTTTTTAATATTGTATTTTCTAGAAGTACTTACAAACGTAGGCAAAGATTGGTTCTACTTATTCAATTCATCAGAAAAGCCTCCGCCCCTCCTCCAAATTTCACTTAATAAGAAGCATCTACCCAGTAAATAATATTTTGCTTTGTCTTCTCTGCTAGAGCCCCGTAATTTTCTGTTTGTCGATTAAGCATTAGAAGTGCTTTATCGTTATTATCAAAATTAATTTCAAACTATTATGAGTACTTTTCTTTTTTTAAGAACCGTACTGAACATATATTGCAGGAAAGGCAACATTTTTTTCGCAATATTAAAATAATTAGAACAGAATGCGACCGATTTGTGTTGCTCAGATTCAGACTTCTGGGTTCAGATAGAATACAAGAACTTGAACCTTTTGCCATAAAATGGTCCAGCCTTTTAAACTTCATTAGAACAACAAAAAGGTTTCAAGTCAGACTTGGAGCTATAATAGACTTCCATTGGTATTGTCTTTGGGATTGGCAAAAAATACCAATAGGCCCACTTCCCGGACTTAGTCTTCCCACCAGCACCACTAGTATTAGAACTGCTAATGCTCTAGTCTAATTAAACAAATGTTTTCCCTGATGAATATTTTTCTTCTTTTACTTTCTAAAAAGATTTTTACTAAGAAATTTAGAAAAACATAAAAAAAAAAAAAAAATTGTTAAAATAAATCATTTTGAATTATATTAAATAAGATATGGCTGAATTATTCTTACTTTGTTTCCTCCTGGAGATGAATCACTCTCATCATCCCAGCTCAACTTTTTAACTGTTCTTGGAATGGAACCCGGTGGCCAGACCCTGTTCTGGAGAGTTCCACCTAGCCTCTGTTGCGACGGTAACTGTGGAGGGGAGGGTGCGGCTGCCTTTTTTGGATTAGCTGTATTTGACAGACGACCATTTGTATTACGTGCCATTATACCTGAAATTTATTTATAATAGATATTTTATGATATAAAACCTATCCTAAATTTTGTTTCCAATAATTCTGTTTTAATTATCTTTGTACACTTGGTTTCTGAAATTAATTAACTTTTTTAAATTTAATTTATAATATATATTCTGCCTTTTTTATTTCTTTAATTGCTGTTCAAATATATTTTTTTTTTGGATAAAAATGAGTTGCTTCTTGAATTTTAGAAAGTTGAGAAGATGAATAGAAGCTATTGACATTTTCTTTTTAGCTGAAGAGTTCTTCTATATGAAATGAGGAAAAATGTTTCCAATGATAGGTTTTTATTTCATCTTTAAAAATAATGTACATTACTGTGTATATTAAAAATTTGCCACAAAATCTTAATTCTTCTTGAGATATTTCCAAACCTCTTTTGGCATGAAGTGATATAATAAACTTAGGTTATAACTTAAACAACGGTTACTAAAAGAAAATAACATCATAAATTCCTGATTGGAAATTGATAAACTTCAAGTAACTGTTATCTTGTTAAGAGTTATCAAAATGAATGTCTGAAGGATTATATCACTGTTTAATTGACCTATTCAAAACATCTCTCATGATTTTATTTTTTAAAATCATTTCTTGTTTAAATAAAAATATCAATATTATAAATTTTAAATGTATGTATGGAAATAATTAAAAATAAATTTCACGCTTACTTTTGACTGTTGCAGTGTATTGCGAACTGCTGTTAGGAACTGTTGTTCCTCCATTCTGGGTGAAGACTGGATTTTCAACCTTTCCATTCTTGTTGTTAGTGTTTGAAACAAAGGTCATGTTTTCATTTCTCATGGACAAATTGCCATCATTAAAATTATTATTTTCAAGCATTGACATTTCACTGCCCAATAGCATTGAATCCCTTGTCATTGGTGGCATTTTTTCAGACTCGATTGCACTTAATACTTGTGCTGTCGTTGCTAGCTGGTTCTTTGATTTTGGTTGCCTACTGTTATTAAATAATTAATTTAGTACTTGATTCCTCTAGTAATTAACAAATATGAGAATCATTAGTTGATTAGTTTACTTACTGTTTGTGAATATAGACAATCAGGACTAGTATAATTAGAGCGAGAAGCCCGAGAATCGCTCCGAATATTGCCATCATAATCATGTTATTTGCTATTCCACTTTTCCATACAATGGCCTCAGGTAAATGTATTATCACTGGAACTGATGCCTGAAAATGAAATAACAACATTATGCATATTCTACCAGAGCTCAAGGTGCCAGGTTCGAATCCGGCTGATAATTAGTAATTTTTCATCAACAGTGGGTCGACCCTGGGGCCGGGAGACCCTTCTGGGGCAAACCCAACTTCTTTAAAGTTGGTACTCTTAATTAAATAATTAATTAAGGGGGAAAACCTGGCAGTTGAGCATGATATTGGCCCATCACCTCCCTACACTACCATTGGCCTTGAAACAGTACTTGCTCACATTGACCTGAACCCAAGACCCTTCATGGGTTGTAGTGATATAGGACAGGATGCATGTTATATGCAATGTTTTTTTTTTTTAATTCATTACTCCACAATTATGAATTGCTCTCTGGAGATCATCCGATTGGATCAATTATTTTATGTATAATATGACTGACATTTCTTTCATGTGAATAGAAAGTTTAAGTGTTATTTTATGTGGATTCTTTATTTGTTAATCTATGAGTCTTGGTTGGTGTCTTGTAGAAAAACATCTGAAGAGCCTCCATACAATTAGTCAGATACAAAAATTGTTTATTTTCTATTTTTTTTTTTATAGGATATTGATACTTTAAATAATCGTTCTTTCTTATCTTATATTATTTTATTAAAATTAACTTTCTACATTATTACCAAAATATTATTAATGGATAAAAAATAATTTTATTTAATTTTGTACTTAATTGTTGAATTTTAGTGGGATATTCTTTATCAGATCTGAAACTCTTCCTTCAGGCATTGGAAAAAAGCTAAAATTAAGTTGAAGTATATTTTACTTCAAGATATTAATTATTTAAAACAAACTGGACTTAGTAAAAATTTGATTTAGTGGCTCTTGTTTTTATTGTTTTATGTTTTAGAAATGGGCTGTAAATAGTTAATCAAAAGTAAAGAAATGTAGGTTTAAATAACACCAAGGTAAAATGGCTTGGGGCATGAGATGTTGAGAGGATGTGTTGTAAGACTGAAATAAAAAAATAGAAAATAAACAATGATATGATTTAAGCTATATAAAAAAAAAATTACAATATACTGGATGTTATTCTAAATACGAAAAATCTATTGTAGAAGATGATATAATGCTCATTGATCATTAGAGGTCTTTCTTTTCGTGATTTTAATTCATACAGACTACTATTCACCAGCTTGTAAGTTTTTTTCACCTTCACATATACTATTTCCCCTCTCTCTCAATGATACAGCTCTATGTCATGGCATTTAATATAAACAATAAAATATTTATTCTATAGTAATATACAGTTTTTAAAACTTTTGAGAACTTCAGATTAATAAAGATTGAAATTTTAAAACAAATATTTTTGTCAAAATAAAATAAACAATTATGTAAATCACAAGAATAATTTGTCTTACTTGTCTGGGTGGAATGCCAGTATCAGTGGCTACGGCCACTAAGTGAACCGTACTACTATTCAGCGCTGACAGATCAGTGATCCTTATGATTCCTTCATCGTCAATTGTAAACATCCTGCAATAATAAATTGGTATAATTTTTCTGAATTTAAATCCTTTCAAAAGTTTTAAAGTTTTAGTTTTATTAATATTAATTATAATAAACTAATATTAATTCCTATTATTATAAATTAATATTAATTACTTTAGTACTAACTAATATTAATTTATGCTAATATATAAAGGTGAAGAGCTTATTTGTGAAATACATAAATTTCAGGAACTATCAGTCTGATTTGAAAAATAGTTTTCCATTGGATTTAATTAATTGAAAAAGCTATGATACATAGGAATCGAACAGTATCCATAATTGTCATATATGGAAAATTGTATGAAACTACTCGAGTACACTGCTTCCTGTAAATATCATTAATAGCCACTATAAACAAAGTGCTAAAACAAAATTTTAGAAATATTGAGTGTGACCTCAGAGAAAGATAAGGCTATATAAAACTCCAATTTGACTGGTACCAACATACGGAGCTGGGATAAGGTCTTATAATAGATATCAATCTCAAAATATTTGTATGGAAGATTTTAAGGAGATATAATTACCGATTTATCTATAATAAATTTATAAAAACATGGCTTATTTAAATCGAAAGGATGCTGAATGATATCATACCGGGGAAATTACTGTATGGAGAAGTGTTTATAAGGAGAAGTGTGGCCTGTTCACTCAGCAGATGGCTGCAGGATGTTGAAGCTGACCTTAAGATGGCGAGTTGGTTGAAAGAGGGAAGAAACAGGGAAAGATGGACATTATTAGGAAAGCGATTGCTAGAGTTGCTCTATTTAAGTAACTAAATATAAATATCAAAAAATATTATTTGGGATGAAGTTTTTTAAATTTTCTTCAAATACCTGGAAATATGATGTTCTTAAAGTTTTTTTAATGTAAAGCTGTCAAACTGAAAAATCTTTTTGTCTTAAGTCAGTATTTTTTTTTTTTTAAATTGCTCTAGTCAATTTTGTATAAAACAGGCAGACATAATCCAAATTTAAGGTGGTTGAAATTTTTAATGTCTTCTATTAATACTGCTTTATTGACTTGTTAATGCGTGTTTTGTTGTAAAAATGTCAACAATCGACCAATAAGCTCCATTTACCTTTGAAAAATATCTTAAAAAACATAGGAAAAAAGTGAATGTACCTTGCAGCAGAACCATGAAGGGCCAGGCTGACTTTGTCGCCTTTATCTCCATCTGCCACTTCTACTCTTCCAACTGGGATATCCCTAGCTTCACCTCCTGATCCAAGTTCTGGTACAAAGAACTCGTATTGAGGGAATCTGAATCTTGGATCCCAATCATTCACATTTAAAACGCTGATATTTACGAAGGCGCTAGCATTCTGAAAAGTAATGAGTTCATATTCAAGATTAACATCACTAAATATTCAAGCAAAATTAAGTAGAAAATAAATATGAAAAATTATTAAAACGTTAGTTAGTTTTTTGTTGAAAATTAAAGATCGAATGAATTTAATTATTTCAAGATTAGAATGGCTCACTAAAGTTTTCGAAGCTTAAGTTATATTCTAAAAACAGTTTTTGATGTTAATCTAATTAAAATTAAGTGAAAGTATTTTTAAAGAAGTTAATTGTAGCCTCTCAAGTAAGGTATGTCTATTTCAATTGTCTTTATGTTCTAAATGAGGGGTCTCCAAACCTTTTGGCCCACTGGCATAATTTTTTGCTCTCTTAGAAAAGAGAAAGAACTCATGCAATGACTACGTTCAAAGAAACTTTCGTTGGTCATAGTTTGGAGGCTCCTGTTCTAAATCAATGATTTATATGAAAATTTCTCTTCCGAAAAATTAAGTATAATATTAAATATATAATTAAGTCAAATGTAAGTAAGAATCTATAGTTTTATGAAAGAATCTTGAGTAATATTTTAGTTTGAAAGTCATAATTAAGCAAATATTATTATATACAGAATAAACTATTTTTACCTGTACTCCATCAGTAGCATATACTTGAAATATATAGGTGTCCTCACTTTCATAATCAAGATGTTTCTTTAGTATGATATCACCACTCGGTAGAACACCAAACATGTCTGCATGCTTGTTAAGGGAAAAACGTAGCCTCTATAACAAATATATCACAAAATTAAATTTTTGAATATTCCATTTTTTTTTAATTTACTGAAAATTCCTACTGTATTAAATAAATATATCTAGTAAATCTGAACAATTAAGAATAATGGTATGAACAGACTTATCGAGATACTATCCAATGGTAGCACTCCTTAAATAGTTCTAAGTAAAAAGATCCCGAGGCCATCTTCTTTTCAGATACATAGGAGGATCATCATGAATTGAGGATAAAGCAGAACTGGAAACAAGTGGGTTAGGAATGGTCTGGGATTTATCATGATATAAGTATCAACAACATGAATTCTCTATTTAAATGTAAAATTTGAAATAGTATTTTTATATTTTTAAATTACTATCAGTTAGTTACTTACTATCATATTAGGTATAATGTTTGATTGTGTAAGGGGTAAAATGACCTGTAAGAGGTAGAGGAGCTCCCCATTGTTATAAATAAATAGATATAATGTTTTAGGGTTACCAAAATGTAGATTGTCAATGAGAGTGTGAATTATGCAATATTTTTTTTGTTTTATTAAAAATTTTTTTAGTCAGCACATACCTTGAAGTTCTAAATAAATTTTGAATATTTGATTCAAGAAAAGAATATGAGGTTTGAGCTGTATGCTTTCCTTTTCTTTTTCTTTTTTTCTAAACATCCAAATAATTTCAAAACTATTATTAATTATTAAAACTTTAATGAACTGTTATGAACCTTGTCTCTGTGTCGATTTGTAATCACTGTCAGAAGAACACTGTTGAGAGGAACATTTTCTAAAACACCAGCTAAATAATGGCTCTGTAAAAATTGTAATTCCTTTAATGACGTTCCCGGTCTGCTTACGGCGAGGGTGGCGAGTGCGTAACGGTCTCTGTTGTCACTTTGAGTTGCCTGATAACAATTTATTTTGAATTATAGACAGTTCAATGCTTGAAACAAAGTAACTTAACTTAAGTAAGACTGACTCAAGTCAATAAAACTTAACATTAACATAGAGTAAAAAATATTAATAGCCAAAATTATTTTTATGAAATTAAAATGTAAGTACTTACTCTGACCACAAGTGTAGCTGGTTGGAGAAGTTCATCTTCTGGAATCATTTTTTTAATAGTTACTCTTCCTGTGGCTTGGTCAATTTCAAAGAACCTATAATCGCTTCCGGCTGCAAAAGGGTAATTAACGAATGATGATTGTTGTTTATTATTAATAAAAAATTATAACGTAATGTATAATCATTATTTTTACCTGAATTGAATGAATAAAATATGGGAGCTCTAATACCCACATCTTGATCTACTGCTGATATCTCTTTTGGTTTTATTGTTAAAACAGTTCCCTTGAAAAGAAAAGTTCACATACAATTACATGCTATATATATGGCATATATAATTACTATTGATGTCATCATAGTAGGAAATTTGTCTATATTATATCTCAATAGCAATTATGCTATGAACATATATGTATATTTAAACCTATTTACCACAGGTGCATGGTCAGGAATAATAGCTGAATATCTTTCATCCATGAATCTAGGATTTTGGTCATCTGCATCGATCACATTTACATAAAGTGATGTGTCTGAGTATTGTGGTGGATTTCCTTGATCCTGAAAACATGTTCAGATTATACCTCTTTATCTATTAATAATATATTCAATGACCAGAGATTCATTAAGTAAATTAAATACCTGAGCACGAATAGTTAATGTAAAGTTAGGTAAAGTTTCATAGTCTAAAGGCTTTCGTAGGACAAGTGTACCTTCCAGTCCATTTACAAATACAAAATGGTCCTAAAACATAAAACACCACTTTAGCTTGATAAATAATTTTGTGTACTTTAAAATTACTAAGCGGATACACCCTGTCCATCTAATGGCGGACCAACCACCATTTTACAAGTTATACAACTGTTTATTTAATTGTAATACTCATTGCTCAAATTGTATAACTGTAATTTACATATATTCTGTAGTTCAGATTGTATTATTTTTTATCAAACAGAACTAAACACAGTTCGGACAAATTTTTAATTACTTTAAAAATCTATATTATACATAGCATCATATTGTGGTGCTATATATAATATAGATCAATTTATATTATTATATAATTATAATTATTCTTATTGCCGATTTTTAATCATAATAAGGGGGAACATTTTAATTCTACTTTATTTATTTATTTTTATTTTACATTTTAATTCTATTTTATTTATTTATCTTTATTATATTATTACTATTATTTATATTTTCTTCCCTCATTATGATATTTTATTTTTTCTTATTTCGCTGTATATTCTTTTGAAATTACCTTATTTATTTTTTGATTTTGTAAATATACTGTGAATGTGCTCTCTGAACTCTATTACAAGTGCCCTTTATTGAGACAGATTGTAATATTTTTCAATAAACAAGTAAAAAGTTAATAAGGGAGAAATAATTCTGGAAATAAGAAGTGTAGTGTCTTTGTAATGATCCATTATGGTTTGTATATGTAAAATAAAATATGACTCTTGATGTAAACTATGTGGATGTAAACTCTCTATTTTTTATATAATAGAGAGATTAATGTAAATAGATGAATATGAAATACAATTAATTAAATAATTTATTTTTTTTTAAGAAATTAATATTTTGTAGTATAAATAGCTTTCTTCTGATGTTTGGCATTTCTTTAAAACATTAAATATTAGCTATATTGAGTGTTATTTCTTTTAATTCATATAATTTTAATTATCTCTCTGCAGTTTAATGGTTTGTTAGAGTAGTTTAGTTTTAGTAATCAATTTAAGTTTCTGATGCATTTTTTTTATTTTATTTATGACCACTTAGTTGCCTGTTTGAGCTTTATAGTATTATAAAGCTTTATATTAATGGTAATTTATACAAAACACACATAACACCTAATCAATAAAAAAAAAGTTCTATAAAATTTCTGATGACCTTTCAGCAATAATGAGTATTTATAAATAAATTATAAAATAAATCTAAAAAATTACTGAATTCGGTCCTGGGAGTACAGTATACTGTACAGTTGAGAAAGGTCCTTGCTGATCTTTATCTCTGGCTCTGACCCCTTGTAATACCCTGGTTCCGACTACTGTTACCTGTAATTAATAGATAAATGTAAAGAATTTTTCATAGGTAAATCAATTATTGAAGGAAGTTTCCCGACTGTTCTACATATCATAGGTGATAAATAGTCAGGATGCAGTAATTTTAAGACTTTTATTGTTGCCGACATTTCAATCTAAGCATGTGGGTCATTATCAGGGTATGTTACCAACACGGTAGGTGTTCAAGTACTATGTTGTATGTTTACTTGAATGATTCTGTCGAATCAATACTGAATCTGTTGAATGAGTACTTGAACACCTTCAGTGCTGGTAACACGGCCTAATGATGACCCACATGTTTGGGTTGAAACGTCGGCAACAATAAAAGTCTTAAAATGGATGAGTCCTGTCTGTGTATCACCTATGATACATAAATAAAAATACTTGAAAATTAATGGCATATAAATATGGTTAGTAAATTTTAATTTGAAAATATTTTTGTTTATTTTTATTTCAAAAATTTTAATAATTAAAAAAATAAATAATAATTTATATTTCAGAAAATAAATCCTTTAACTTTTTTTTATTTTCTGGCAATTTTTTATTTGATATTATTTTAACTTAATAAATATTAAATTGAATTGAATCAAATAAAATTAAATAATTATAATGTTAAATACCTCCGATATATTCAAAATATAAGGGCCATTTTCGAATTGTGGTGCGTTGTCATTGACATCCATTACCCTAATGTTTACTGGGATTTTAATCTGTAACAAAATTTGGTATTTAAAAAAAAAATTGTAATAATACTTTACATTGATTTTTGTTATCCATAATTTACTTACAGGATCTGTCGAACCTTTTGGCGTACACAGGATATGAATATATACAGATGAGATCCCATTTTCGCCCTGATTTTAAAATTACAAAAGTATTAATTTGTTTTTATAACAAATGATTTATGTGATCTCATGAATATTTATTCCTACCTCTTTGTCTAATTTTTTAATTAGCGTCAAATTTTTGGTCCCTGGTTCTATAACGACTGGGCTGTCTACCTCTTCTAGTCTTAGCTCTATATTACCCCTTGGGCCCACCTCACCGTTTATCCTTAGGCTACCTGTAAAATAAAATTTTATTTTTAAAATATGATTGATGTAGTGCACGGGAGTCTTTCTCAACGTTGAACAGGCGTTTGATAGAGTCTGGCATCCGGGACTGATGTACAAACTCCGTAAATTCCTACCACCTACATACTTCCTCATTATCTGTTCCTACCTTACTGACAGATACTTCAAAGTCAATCATAACAATGCTTATTCATCTCTTTTTACTCAGTCTGCCAGTGTTCCTCAAGGTAGTATCCTAGATCCTATCCTTTACACAGTTTATACAGCTGACATCCCAACCCAATCCAACACTGTCATCACTACCTATGCCGATGACAAGTGTATCCTATCAGTTAATAACGATCCATCTATTGCATCCCAAACTCTTCAATCACACATCACAAGCCTTGAAAAATGGTGTCAAAACTGAAGGATTAAAATAAATTCCAATAAATCCCATCAAATAACCTTCACTCTTCGTCGTAAACCTATGACTTCCTGTCCTACAGTATCCTTCAACAATAGCCCTCTTATCCCTGTCGAACAAATCCGATACTTAGGACTCCACCTTGACAAACGACTCACTTGGAACCCCCATACCAGACTGAAACGACTAGGAATCACCCGACGTTTTCGACTACTGCAGCACTTACTAGACAAACGATCTAAGCTTTCAATCAATTATAATCGACTCATATATATGACAATAATAAGACCTATTTGGACTTACGGCATTGAGCTTTGTGGCTCCACTAAACCATCAAATTCCTCTCGTATCCAATCCTTACAATCCAAAATCCTTCGTAAAATCCTCAAAGCTCCTTACTTTGTCACAAATAAAATTATCCATAAAGACCTTAATGTTCCATATGTTTCCGATTTGGCCCAATCCAGATACCTGTCCTTCCATAACAAACTGCAGAACCATCCGAATCCTCTCGTTTCAAACCTTGCTTCCTCCTCGATCCCTGATAACCCTCCGAGGCGTCTGAAAAGAAGGTGGCCTCGGGATCTTCTAATATAGAACTTTAATTTGAGTTCTACCAATGGGTAGTTTCTCTTCATGTTGTACATGCCATGTTACCAATTTCACATTTACTTATTGTATTTTCTATGTAATACAGTTGTAAATTCCATTAAAATAATTTAAAAAAAAAATATGATTGGTTTATATATGATCAGCTGTCAAAAAAAAATGTCTATTTAACCACTTAAAACTGAAATTTATTTGTTTATGTCTAGATAAAATATTATAGAATTTTCAGAACAGCTCAGTTAATTTAAAATTAGGCCAAGTATTCAATGTTTAATGAAATATGATTTTTATCCACTATTATCATGTAATATGATCGAAATAATTTTGGTATATCATAAAATTTTGGTTTACCTACAATTTAATCTTGAGCAATAATTTTGCCAAGCCTCACCAAGCAGATCATTCTTAATTTTAGGTGATATATAGTAATCTATTTTATTGGTGAATTCAAAGGGGGGAGGGATTTTTAGGCTGAAGCAGCTGGATCACAGCATTATTGTTCTACAATTACCATTATTAAAAAAAAAAAAAAACTGATGATAAAAAAACAAATTTTCATTTTAATATACAATAATTTCTGAACCTATTACCAATACAATCTTTTTTTTTTTTTTTTATGCTTAATGGTTGAAAAATATTTTCAGCTTCCTATAGTCTAATTCAGCTTTATATCTTTTCCAGAATTAAATATTATTATACTTTTATAACTAAAAAAGGAACCACTAATTCTTTTTGTTTACTTTTGACTAATGTGATGCCATCTCTATATAATATATATATATATATATATATATATATATATATATATATATATATATATATATAAAACTTAATTTGATCTATAAATAATATTGTCATATAACTAAAAGTACAGTACACTAAGGGAACTTTGTGAAGATAAAGGTAAAAATATATTGATTGCAATGACAAACATCAAGTTAGGCTTTAGCATGTTCTCTATAACTTGATACTAAGTCAGTTATTGTAGGAGGTAAATCTGAAGTATTTAGAACAGTTAATGAATAATCTTAATAGATTTTTCTCAGTAGGATTTCTCACTTTTGGATAGTTAAGAAGATTAAATAACTTATTGTTTTTTTATTTTGCTTCTTATATCCAATTCTTCACATAAATGTACATATAAATAAAATATGAAATAATTTTAAATATAACTAATATTCAAATAATTATTGATATCTGTGCCCCAGAGGTAAAGAAAACCATGTCCATTTTTTATTCAATAATTTAATAACTTAGAAATACATTTTAATAGCTCAAAGTAATGGAAAATTGGCTCCCTGAACAAATATAAAAATGTAACATAGTGTCTTTTACCTGCAAAGCACAGATTTAGCCAGGGGTGCCCATCCCTCCCAAGGTCGATGGTGCAAGAATCTATTCCCCCACTCCCAAGACATTTTATTGCTTACCTTTTCTTTAAAACAGGGCAAACGAAGGAAGAATTAAATCTCGTAGGACAAATACAATTACACTTGCTGTGGTCCTTTCCATGTTTTCTCCTTGTTCCTTAATATGAAACCTTTAATTCCAAAAATTCATAACCCCACCCAAAATATGCCGCCCTCAAAAATTTTGAAGGTACAGGCTACGCCATCAAACCCCCTTCTGAGCAACCCTGGATTTAGTAACTAAGAAAAAAAATTTAATAGCTCAAAGTTAAATACTAGCTCTCCTACAAAAATATAAATATGTGACATGGTGTTCTTCACCTCCGGGGCAAAGATATATCTTTATAAAGTTACCTTATAAACAACTGTAAGACATGATGATCTCAAAAAAATCAAATAAAGTTATACTTAAAAAAATAATATCCATATCTGTTACCTATGAGGGAACCAAGGGGTAGGTCCTCGCTTGCGAAGAAGTTTTCGCCTGAACCGCCATTTTCCAGGTAACATCTGTTGTCTAAACCTGTAAAATAAATAAATGGTATAATGTAAAATTATTTCAATTATGTTATACTACTATAAAAGTATACTTTCTAGTCTATAAGAAGTTTGGACTAGTTGAATGAAAGACTATCCATTGCAAAATAATGTTTTATTAAAAGTTTTGATAATATAAAAATGGAACACGGTTTCCAAGAGGATATTGGAGGTAAAATACACATTTCATTAACGGTCTGGGCAGTCACCTTACATAAGTTATCTCCAGTACATGAAAACAGATGAGCACTGAGTGTACTTTCCCCTGAGATAGCAGAACCATGTGATTACCATCAGGTGAAGGCATCACTTAATCGCAGCGACGATTAGTCAGGGTCTTCGAGGATGGCCCTTGGTGGTCGGCAGTTCTTCAGCCTGGACGTGACCCTCGGAACTGGCCAATCTTATGGATTACAGGCTTAGGTAAACCGAATGACGGCAGAACTGTCACAAAGGGTTCATTTACTTGTCAAGTTTACTAGCAACCCATGTGTTTAACAACAATTGGATTACGTAAATTACTAATTATTCCCATAAGCATTAACTAAAGATCAGCGAGGGAATATTAAGTAAAGTTTGTTTTCATTTCGTCTGGTGGTAGACTTAAACATAAAAATCCCTCAAGTTCCGTATTTTAAACCAAACAAATCATTCTCACATTTCCAACCCGATGCGTCATTCAAAGAGGCTGTTTCAATTTTCTGATATTCAGACCTGCTGTCAGTGAGTAACATGATGGAGGAGTTTAATCCCTGGGACCCGGATAAGAGTTTTAAAAAAGGATATAAACAGTAATTTTAATCTATAATAGATTACATTTAGTACTTTTTTCCGGAGAGCGGGGTGGCAGAGCGGGCTAACGCGTGTGTAAAAAAATCGTTGCCCAGCAACCATAGGATTGAAAAATGGAAGTTTACAAGCTATAAAATAATTACGAGTTCGCATCTTTGTGTCCGGGAGAGATTTTAACTCTGGGAATAATCTCCCACCCTCTCCTTAGACCTGGGAAATCTTCGTTAACAGGTGGGTGGCTGAAAAGAAGAAAAAAGTGAATAGCTTCATATTAACATTACGATCCCGATCAAGAATACAAGTCAGAAATAAGATTTTGTTTTTCGAAATATTGAGAGTAAAACAATAATAATAGATCGAATGCAAAACACCGCTGAAAGGTCGAACATCGTTGTATAGTCAGTGGATAATGCAATAGAGCAGAATCGATTGAGATGGCTGTGACAAGCTTTAGGTTGTGATATAGCAGAATAGCTAGCGTGACTTATCGAGCCAAAGTAGAGGAGAAACGAGGAACAGGATGACATAACAAGGGGAGAAGATGAAGTATGGAATGACTTCTAGAGGAGATGACTTCAATGGAACAGAACTGGAGAGGGCTCTGTTTACTTCCTCCACACACAAGTCGTTCAAAGAGGAATGAATATGGTAGAGATATTTTAAAAATAAGATTTTTAATATACATATAAATAAATCACTAAATTCTGAGAATTGAAAAAAAAAAACTAACTGTCATCTATAATTCGTTTTATAAATTGTGTTAAAATCTTAACCAAACAATTACATAATCTATAAAAAATAAAATTATACAGGATCTTTTCGCTCTATTTGAAAATTTAAGTGGAGCACCAATGCTCAACTTCGTATGTTGAAATAGACCTGGTTATGTCCAAAGGGAGATCTCTCATCCACCTCCACTTCAGTCGTCTCCTCTTATGTATTGATGGGTAAGACAGGCGTAGCCATATTTATTTTCAGTCGGTACATAGATAGATGGAATTTATTTCGGAAGGGGAGGTAGAGTACGTGTCTTCGATAATTGATTGTTCAAGTCGATGTACGGCGTTTAGTCACTAGCGGATCCAGAATTTAATTTTGGTGGGGGCCTCAGCCCGAAAGCTTTTCTCTTTTATAAAAATAACGATAATTACTTTGGATAAAAAGAAAGAAACTAACTACTTATATGAAATGGTGTTTAAGTGATTCCTAAACTCCTTTTAATGTAATTACACAAACAATAATACTTTAAGAGATAATTTTTAATATTTTTTCCAATAAAACATGGTTATATTTCACCATTTTGGTGGGGGGAGGCTTCAGCCCCAAAACCCTCTCCCCCATAGATCCGCCATTGCGTTAAGTTATTTACGTAGCAAAGAGTTTCTGATATCTATAATAAGTACAATTCTGGAATTTAAATATAGTTTTTTTCTCAACTGTGAATCTGTTACACATAGGCTTAGGCTAATAAGGCTTTAAGTAAGTATTGTAATTAGTATTGTTATGCTTTATCTAACTTACGATACTGCCTGACATTGAATGATTGTATTGTATTGTGGGAACTAAATATTTAATTTAGAAGATTTCCGTTTTCTTTTATTGTCAATCTATTAATCTCAGGTTGGTGTTATTTCCGTAGACTCTTTTGTGAGAATCAACCTTATCAACTCTAGGTCATGAGAAAAAGAACTTCTTAAGCCCTGGACGCCGAATGCATCAGGATTTAAATAGGACCGATACGACCGAATCGGGAGTGAATTTTATCGAATCTATCTGTTGACCTTTTCAACATATCAACTTCAGTACGAACTAGCCGAATCCCGAGTAAGGCGTTAGAATCTTTTTCATTTACAGCCGCCCAACCTTTCCACCTTCACCAAAGTTCACGGCTCCTCACGAACCAATTTACTACCGCCTTATAGGCGGAGAGCCCCTCCTTCGAAGAACGGTAAGTGGTCCTGGTGAGCTGGTTTAGAAAGAAAGAGTTTATTGATCAGGTAATCTCTTTTCAGTTAAATGCTATTAAAATGCTGGATTTTTCAGTTTAGAAGAAATTAAGGTTTATAGTTACTGTTTTTAATTAATAAAAACATGACTTATTGGCTGAAAAGAAAGCAGTATTTTTTATGGAATATATTACAGTCTATCACTATTAGCCCGTAGATGGCAGAGCTTAATTCTTGCCAGCATACCTTTCATAAAGAAAACTAATAACAAATAACTATAGAAAAGAACTAAAAAAAAAGGGTGTATTTAGACACACATAAATCACTCCAGATTCAAACTTTTTATCCCAAATGCAAGAAACAAAGAAGGAATCCAGCGAATTCACTAGTATAGGAAGGTTATGGTGGTTGAATAAATGAATTTTAAACTCCAATACCCAGATTTTATTGGAGTATCTGATATTAGAGTAAATGATATACGAGACTAAGCCGGATAATGAAGATGATTATAATATTGAATTTGGTGGGTGGTAGGTTGAGGGAAAAAAACTATAATTGGAACAAAAGAAGTATGCAGAAATTTGATGATTTTAGAGTGACAATCGAGAGGTGTAATGAAGGTTAGACTAAGGAGTTGGTAGAAGTATAGTAGTAAGTTTAACCTCTACAAAGAGGGTTAGTTTCAATGAGGTTACGAATCATATTTTTTGGGGTTCCATTTGGAGGAATTTATAACGGAGAAAATCATGGGACGTATCAACAAATGAGAAAATCATTGCAAGTGTAAGTAAATATGATATACAATTTTTTGTTTGCACTGTTTTTAAGAAGAGGAGAGCAATAAAATTTCTTTGGAGAGAGGGGGGGGTTGCTTTCGACCTTATATGTATGGGTACCTCTTGGTGCAAAAAGTATGTACATAGGCATTTCCCGTTAGTTGTATTGACTTCCTATTGAGGTAATTTTTGTACTGCTTCTCTACAGAACAGGCAATCTATGCTAAAATATGTATTATAAAAAAAATCTGATCTAATAATACTTTCTTTTTATTTTCTTTCGTTTGGTTTCTACAGCGATAATTTTTTTTCCGAGAGGACGTGATTAATTTTTGTGTTTGAAATTTATAGTTGAGGTTACTTGTTTTGATTTTGATTGCATAGAATCGCTACATATTCCATAATAAATGTGATAAATTTTGTTTTATTATTATAACAATTGGATCCTATGATGAATCGACTAAAGCTAAAATTGTCTTTTAAATGATCAATAAACATTTTTTTATTACGTATCTATGCATAATAACTGGTCGTTCTTTCTGACGAGCCATGGTAGTTATGTTCTTCTAAGTAGTAAAATAGATTTTCCATTATGACTGTGGTTTGTCGTCAAGAAAAAATGTCAAGCCGCATAGACTAGACACCTGTCACCCGCCTAGACAAGGTGTTGTCCACGTGTCGTTAACAAGACATGCGCCATCGTAGCAAAGATATTCATTTTCTTAAGTACAGCCTCCTATATCATGCTATTTTTAGTGCTGTAGTAAAATATTACAGGCAGTGGTTGGTGATTATACCACGGCGGAGGGCAGGTGTAGCAAGATGGCTGTGGTCACCCACCGTACTTCCTCTACTTCGGGTCCTTTCCCCGCAGGCTCTGGGTGCCTTCAAAGTCTCTTCCCTTTCATTGCAGGATTTTTTTTGGATCTGAGCCATTCTTCATTTCTTTCATTATCATATGAGCCCAAAACTATAATTAAATGGTGTTTCATAAGAAAATCTTTGAACGAGTTTAATCCATCGAAAATTTTCTTAGATATGTAATTAAGAAAATAAAATTTTCAAATTAATAAAATTTATAAAAGCAAATGCGTAATACCATTGAGTTATACAATTTTCTATTGACATTTGATTATGCTATATTAGAATCATGCTAAATTATATAAGGTTTTATATGAAAAAATCTTCCTTTACAATTGTACTAAATCTTCTCTCACAACTTTTCTTAAATGCAAGTAGTTCCAAAATGGATGGGCGGGGTGACCGTGCAGACTAACGAGTTTGCAATACATTGCCTAGCAACCTGATAACTTGAAGATTATGAGTTCGAGTCCCGGTGCCGGGGCGTATTTAACTGTGGCATCCACAAAGAAAAGATCTTCCAGCTCAGGAGAAAACTCGTATAACCGAAAAGGTGAAGTATGGGAGAAAAGCAAAAAAATGTAGTTTCAAAGTATTTCACTTATTATAAG